GGGGGGGGTTTGGAGGAGATGGTAGGAAATGACGACTTACATTGTGCGGCCGACGGCGTCTTCGACAAAGTCGTCTCCGCGCTGCCAGTGGCCGGAGCGGTAGTTGTCAATGTAGGTGGGGACTGGGCATTGATGTCAGAGGAGAGGTTTCGGGGTTGATCTTTTACGATGAGCTGTCTCTTACGCTGATGTTGAAATGAGAGGAAGGTTGTAATGATCCATTCGGAGATCTGAGGTCTACGCTCACCCAGTCAGTAGGGACTTTTCCAGCCAGTGATTCCAGAAGCGCGAAAGTCTCACCCATGGACGCCGTTGGCTGTACAGAAGCTGACGTCGGTATCCTTGAACAACGGATCCTTGAGTATGTGGTTCGCGCCGGCGCTCTGGAGCTGGACGTAGTGCAGCTTGGGCGCGTCGTCGATTGCTGGCAGGGCGCTGCCGGTCAGCAGGATTGTCACGTCCTTCCACTCGTCGTGTTTGAACGTGTCTCCCGGCTTCTTGTCAGCCCAGCCCAGCTCGTGATGCACAACATCGAGGTCGGGAAACTCGGCGTGCACCTTGTCGAGCCACTGCTGCGGCAGCGGGAACTGCGATAGGACGAGCAGCTTGTGACCCTTGAGGGTCTTGTTCGGCGGTGGGAGGAGCATGATCATTGGCGCGGCGATGTGTTTTCCTGAGAGACGCCTCAGAGGAATCTCAAGAAAGCAGAGGGTCGGGCGGGTAAAGCTAAGGTGTACACAGTAGAGGATTAAGTACTCGGGATGAGATGAGAGCCGTTGTGTTGGTTGAGAGTTTGAGAAGCTCCGACGGAATTGAGGATTTGGTTTCAGCTGATGATCACAAAGCAAAAGCAGCCAGGCTTCTGAAAGCTCAACGCGCTCGCTTTCAACCCACCATCGGCATCTTTATGGGATTCGTCCAGTGCGGGGGGATAAAGTCGCTTTGCGCATCGCAGGGTCGGATTGCGCAACAGGCAGGTCGGAAAGCCGCCGCTGCGACCGATGGCCGGGGTGGGGAATACTTTACCAAGTACTATCACGGATTACAGAATTATCAGACACTAGAAGTGTGGGGGGAACGATTGGGTCAATGGCGTGCGCTCGGGTTTGGGAACATTGTCCATGTCATCATCGCTGGGCAAGGATAAGGTCCATATGCTCCAATTGCGAAGCGGCATTGGAGGGGAGTTGGCATCAATCATCAATCCGCTCCGGCCCGGTGTCGGCGACGCGAGTTGGGATAATGGATGCCGTTCAGAGTCAACTCCCGTTCAAAACGCCTGAGTTGAAGTTGATTCTGAGACTGGAAACGCCATTGAGTTCTACCCAAGAAAAAAAATCTTTATCTATCTGTCCATAGGTTCCTACGTCGATCACTTGATGTATGGCCATGTAATCTAATCGATCGGGGCCCTCCGGAATGAAACCCTGAGGCTTTGTAATTGACGATAAGAGCAGTTTCGCTGCTCATCTCCACACTCACGCCCTAGGCTGTTGGCGATTTCATTCATGTGATCTCATCAATCTTCTGAGATGTCACCAAACTTCTGAGATGCCATGTGAACAATAATCTGCTGAATATGGCAACACTGAGAGCCGGATGAAACATCTCAGCAGGCGGTGAGAAGCACAGCTGAATTCTGCCGGACGGTTGAGGGGGACATGCATCCAAGCTTCCCCACCCCATGTCATGAGGCGCGCCCTTGAGGGTCATGTTTTAACATCGTATGGATACCTCACAGTAGAGATATAAATATTGCTTCGTCATCACTGTAGAAGAGGCTCTGCTAGTCTTCTATATTGTAACCTTAGTCATCTTAGAATTCAAGCATCTTTTGCTATCAAACACACTTGGAAATGGCATCTTCCGGCCCAACTGTCCGACACGCTCGTCGGGAGGGTAAGTGGACGCAGGCATTCTACTACCAGAATGATGGAGCCGGGACTTACACCAACCCCCACTAGATATCCCCACCATCTTGAGCCTCATCAAAGAGCTCGCAGATTACGAGCACGAGCTCGACAGCGTGCTGGCCACCGAGGAGACTCTAGGAAACACCATCGCGTTCGCCCCGTCAGACCAGACAACCTACACGCAGGGCAAACCCCAGACTGAGCCCACATCACCGGCCAGGCCCGCGCGATGCCTCCTCCTATTCAACGAGGCCGGCCAGGGCGTCGGCATGGCGCTGTACTTTTACAACTACAGCACCTGGCGCGCCAAGCCGGGCGTCTATCTCGAGGATCTCTACGTGCGCCTGTCCGAGAGGAAGAAGGGCTATGGCAAGCGCCTCCTCGTTGATTTGGCCAAGGAGGTCGTCGCCATGGACGGCGGTCGGCTGGAGTGGTCTGTCTTGAAGTGGAACGAGCCGAGTATCAAGTTTTACGAGTCCATTGGCGCAAAGGCCAAGAACGACTGGGTAGGCATGCGCGTCGATGGCGACGCCCTGCCGAAGCTAGCTGGCTTGCTTGATTCATGAAGAGCGCCAGTCTCTATAGGAGAATACAGTTACAATCATATGGTACAGCATTATAGAGAATCTTGACCCCATGGTATTTGAGCGTCCCTGGACCCGTACGAATAGATGCCATGCATACTAGGTAGGAGGCGACATGATTTCTTCAGGACCGACGACCTTGTTGGCCGCCCATCTTGACGTCAAAGATATCAGGCTTGGCGCGCCTCGAATCACTCGACTTGGTAATCCTTGAGTAGTGCGGCTTGGAATCCCTGGGATTGGAGAATTTGAAGTTTGCGAAGCTGCCGGGCGTCGTCTCCAAGTCGCGAGGAGATTCAGACTTCCTAGAACCAGGAGACTTTGACCGAGGCTCCCTAGTCGTACCGAGTTGACTACCCGACCCGATTTGCTTAGAGCCACTAGACTTGGCTTCCTCACCATTGGGTATAGCGTTGCTGGTCATTTCGATCTTGGGTAGCTCTGGTTTCGGCATGCGACCCTTGGCGTCGACGCCCTCAAAGAGATGACGATGTGCAGCAGTAGCCATAGGTAGCTTTGGCTCAATGCGACCCCACACAGGTCTTGCCGCTTTGCTTTCGGCCCCTTTCATGTATGAGGTTGCCTGCCACATCTTCTGATATTCGCGCCGTAGATTCCGCTTGGAATAGACGCTGGTTGAACTCGGCTGCTCTATTATGCCCCTGGTCCCAACGTCATATTCAAGAGTGAGGCGACTTGCCTGCGAATATGGTCCGAAATCTCTCTTGCCGGTGAGGAGTGTTAGTTTTCGGGCACCTGCTCGTTCGGCGTTGCGGACAGGGAGTTGGGCAGAGGCCTGCCACTGCCATTGATCCAATTCGTTTCCTCCGTTGTCCAGGAGTGACGCAATTTGCTTCCTTCTTATGAGGAACTCGTTGGACAACGGGGGCGCTCCAATGGGGACAGCGATGCTCCTTCGTTTCAACATCCTGTACATCTCGGGAGGCGCCTCACCGCAGGCGAGTTGCTCTAGAGACTCCCAATCTGCCTGCGATACTGGGGGCATGATTTTGTCGGCCTGAGCCTTCCAGAACCTTCTGACGATTTTCGTCACTCTCCGCAATGCTACTGGCCGGCCCCAGATGTCCTGCTCGGGTACCTTTTTTTGGGGGTCGAGATCGCCGATGGTTCCTCTGGGAAACGCGGCGCCGGTGACCATGCGCTGCTGAGTCTTTTGCGCCTTGAGATATCGATCCAGCTTGGGAAGGTCCCAATTCTCTTCCATGGGACTGAGATGTTGGCGAAGCCAGGGCGCAGGCTCGTCCCTTGTGTACTCGCGGTCCCAAGGATGAACTTTGGCGCGCTCTTTCATGATCTCTCTCCATATGGCCTTTTTCTTTGCGCGCTCTTCTAGCTCCGCAGGGTCGGCATTGGGGTCTGGCGCCTTTACGACAAACGAGGCCATGAGCTCGCGGCGCTGTTTGCCGAGTCGCCCAAAGACATGCCACATGACACGACGTAGACGGGCTTGATCGCCTTCGACGGCAGCCTGAAGCACGGGTATCTTTTGTTTTGCATCGGCAAGGACCTTGTAGCGACGATCCTCTTCCTTCTCTCTCGCTTCTGCTGGATTGAGGGATGTGAGGATGGCCGGCTCGCGTTCTGCCATTCGTTCTCGCTCGTCTCGGAAGGAGGTTTGTATGCGATGGTCGAGAAAGGGTCGCATGGATGGAGGGAAGTAGGAGGCAGAGCGCAGCAGGTGGCGGTAGACATGCAGCGGCTGCACGGGATGTGGCAGAGGTATTCGGGTCCGCATTGCAGCGGTTGAGAAGGATCACTTGGGGATGCAGGCCGTCGCAAAGGTACAGCAACAGACCAAGAGGAGTAGAAAAAAAGGGGAGCTGAGGTTATGAAGAGACCGGGTTTCTCGTCATTGTGATTATCGCCGGGTCGGGCAGAGACGCATGTGCGATGTCGAGCAGGATGCATGCAGATGATAATGCAGAGGAGCATCAAGAAGGTGGTGGTGGTGGTGGTGGTGCCCTTGGTGCCTGGCAGGACCTGCACAGTCGCCTGCAACTTGCAAGCTCTTGCGCCGCTGCCGTTGGTTCGTTGGTTCGGCTGGACAGAGGCCGACGGGCCTAGGGCCAAAGCTCCGGAGGTGGGGGCACCTCTTTGTCGGTCCCGGCTTCGGACACTTACATGAGATTTCACAGTGAAGGGAAAGCATTCGAGAGTATCCGTAAGGCAGGCAATGACGTGTCTACATGCAAGGTATTGGAGACAAGCAATGAGGCATTCAGGTTGACTTCATTTCATGGCCCGCGCCAGACCTAAAGCACTCTGATGCTGCGGTGTGACATGAGGCGTGGCTGAGAGCAGCATGTAGAATTGTTCCCAGGTATTCCGTATGTAGGTGCCTCAAGGAAGGCAGTGAATGCAGAGCAAAAAGTGCTTGCTATGCTCCATGCCTTGTGACTGCCCCTCCTTTTTTAGGGGAGCACAGTGATGCTTGACTTTAATGACTGAGGTGAGGTGGGCAGAGACGCGATAAGAGGTCTGATAAGTCTGACCGGGAAACAGCGCTGCCGCTCGGTGAGTCGAGAGTGAGACGCGTCACGCCCCTCCCTTTGCCTCTACTTTCCAGAGCGCGTTACCTTACCTAAGTTAGCTTGCTTAGGTACGGTAGCACGGTACCTTAGGTTGGAGGGGACCGTCCCCAGAGGGGTGGCACTGGTGGGGAGTTTGGAAAATACGTACTTGTCTTACCTCAACACGCTCACACCCAGTTTAGGTACCTTGTGTGCTTGCCGAATAATGGCCTGTGTGTCTCGCTTAACAAATGGGAAAGCGCCAATTCTCCCCCTCTCTTCCCGCCCTTGAGTCAATTCCAGCCAGCCAGTCAGCCGTCGGGTCCGTCCACAGTCCGCCCGTCCCTTCCACCTCACTGCCCAGGCACACCGCACGCCGCACGCCAGACGCCAGGTCCCTCGCCCTGACTCTTTTCTTCCCCCGTAAATTGAGACGCGCGACACGCTCAGCCATCGAGAACACGCCCTCGCGAAACAGACACGTCCCCGACACCTTTAATTGAAATTCCCTTTTCGGGCTCAGCGCCGCGGGCCTTTTTCATTTTCGGGCCCGGCAACCAAGGCGACGAATACTCGCAGTTGTGAACTCTGTCCGATATCCACTTGATCTCCAGTCCGCCGTTGTCTGGACGCTCCAATCTCAACCTCACCCTTCTTTTTGGGTGCCATCTTTGCCTCTTTCTGAACCTCAGATCCGCAGCCTCTGTCTGTTCGAACCCGACGACCTTTCTCTCACGTGCGAAAAAGCCGCCCACCACCCAAACTTCGGCTCCCTTACGCATCCTTTCACTCACAACCCACGCCTCTGCTGCTGCTTGTCCCTCCAGCTGCCCTGCTCTACTCTCCGTTGCTGCTGCTGCTGCATCGGTTTACTTCAGCATAGTACCACATACAAAGCACCCGGCCAAAGGTGGCGGCGCAACGCAAACCACCGCAAAGCAACGCAACGCACATCGAACCCCTGCGAAAGACTGTAAGGACCAAGACGGCGGCTGCACGCATTTTGAATCAGCGCATACTCCGAATCTCCTGCCGCCCTCATCCTCTACATTCGCCAGGTTCGCCAACGTCGATTGATCAATCACCTCACTTAATTAGAGCCGTCGTCCTTCTACAACCTCCCCCCCCTGGCTCTATCCCTTCCTCCGCCTCCGCCTCCGGATCCCATCGCCTCGCCGTCGGTTCCTCGCCTCCAATGTGCTAGCGCTGGCACATGTCTTCGACCACCCTCATAACCAGCCAACCCGCTAACTCCCTCCATTCCCGCCGCAACTCGTCCTTTTCCACCGCCCGACCCTACGACAATCGCGGGAATCCCTCCGCCACCACCATGATGCCTTCCGCATCGCAATCACAACCTTCCTCGCAACAGTCCTTTACAATGAGCCAGCAATCCCAGGGCGGCTACCGAGCCTATGGAGGGGACTCGAGGCTCGCCAATGACGCCCCACAGATTTACAGCGTAAGTACCGGTCCTGCTTGCCATCGCACTCCCTCGATGTAGTAGTCCTTGCTGGGCAGTCGCACTGACAACCACAACTAGGCCGTCTACTCCGGCGTCGATGTCTACGAGATGGAAGTCAATGGTGTCGCCGTTATGCGCAGGCGGCAAGACAGCTGGCTTAATGCTACCCAGATCTTAAAGGTTGCCGGTGTCGACAAGGGAAAGCGCACAAAGATTCTTGAAAAGGAAATCCAGACTGGCGAACATGAAAAGGTTCAGGGAGGCTATGGAAAATATCAGGGCACCTGGATCAAGTTTGAGCGAGGCGTCGAAGTGTGCCGCCAATATGGCGTGGAGGAGGTCTTGCGTCCCTTGCTGACGTACGACATGGGTCAAGATGGAGGAGTTGCAGGCCGAGGAGACTTCAACACGCCGACCAAAGAGCAGGCTATGGCTGCGCAGAGGAAACGAATGTACAATGCCGGAAACGAGGCGAGGACGAACGCCATGGCCGGCCTCAACGGCACCTTTTTCAAGAATATCTCGAGCACTGCGTCGCACGCCGTCGCTGCTATCAGCAAGGCGCGATTCGACTCTCCTGGCCCGAGGAGCCGCAACGGACCGACAAAGGCGCCCAGCTTCAGCCGCCAGAGCTCGATGCAGAATGGCGACGACTTCCCCAGCAACTCCCAACAGAGCTTTGCCTCTGACTATGGTAACCAGAACGACTCGGCGTATTCCACTCAGCAAACAAGCCAGCAGTTTGACGGTCCAGAGCCGCCAAGGAAGCGGCAGCGTGTGACCATGACACCACAAGACAGCTTTGGGTACAACAACAATTCGATGGAGATGTACCAAAACCAATTCCCCGGATCCCCCACGGAACCTAACGAATCCTTCATCTACTCTCAGGCCAACGCCCCAGCACATGACGGTCACAGCCCCCTAAGTCCTCTACCATTCGAAATGTCCCCCGACGCCGAAGCGAAGCGTAGCACGTTGATGAGCCTATTCATGGACTCGGCAACCTCGGACCAGTCAAAGCATGAGATGCTGCGGACATTAGCGCCCATAGAGCTGGACATGCCTATTGACCAACAAAGTCACACTGCCCTGCATTGGGCCGCTACATTATCACGCATGTCACTCTTGCGGGCCCTGATTACAGCAGGGGCCAGTCCCTTCCGAGTCAATGCCTCTGGAGAAACGGCCTTGGTCAGAGCATGTGTTGTGACAAACTCCATGGACCTGGGACAGTTCCCCGATCTCCTCGACGTTCTTGGAAGCACAATTGAGGTCCGTGATAGCAAGGGACGGACCGTTCTGCACCACATTGCCATGACGAGCGCTGTCAAGGGCAGGAATGCGGCAAGCAGATATTACCTTGAAAGCCTCTTGGAGTGGGTTGTGCGACAGGGCAGCAATCCCAATGGGCAACTCGCTGCTGCCAATGGAAAGGGAGAGAGTGCGCCGGCCAGCTCACAGTCCCAGCCATCGTCACAACCCAAAATGGGCATCGCTCGCTTCATGTCAGAGATTGTCAATGCGCAAGACCACGCCGGCGACACGGCGTTGAATATTGCAGCGCGGATAGGCAACCGGAGTATCATCTCCCAATTACTGGAGGTGGGCGCTGATGGGGAGATTGCGAACCGCGCTGGCCTGCGACCCGTGGACTTTGGTATTGGGGGTGAACCTGCGGACGAAGGTTCCAAAATCATCAACGGAGCCAATGGCAACGCGGCAAATGGAGATGTCGAGAAGAACGGACTTGTCAGCAGTGAACCGACAAAGGAAAGCAGTGATGATATTATCTCATGTGAGTCTCACACCAAATCTCACCAACCCCTTTTTTCAATAGTACTGACTGACATTCATCAGCCATCACACATCTCCTCACTGAAGCAAGCTCCACCTTCCAAAGCGAAGTCAAGTCGAAACAAGCCGTCATCGAGTCTCTCCACACCACCCTCCGCACAACATCAGCACAACTAGGCGAGGCCAAGAGGAACCTCGAAGCAATGCAAGCAACCTTGCGCAAACAGCAACTCGCGCGGCAAAAGGTCTCGAATCTCAGCCACGCTCGCGAAGAAGAACAGGTCCGCCTCACTCAGGAACAGAACCGTGCGGGGCGGACAAACGCCCTCTCCTCATCGTGGGAGACGGAACTCAGCGCCGCCCTTGAGACTGCTGGCACGAACGGCGAGGGCGGCCTGTTGCCCTCGGCGGCGGTCCTCAAGGCGAGGTTGAGCGCCGTATCGGCAAGACGGGACGTTACGCGCAAGATGGCGGGCGCGCTCAAGGGACGGAGTAAGGACCTTGAAGTCAAATACCGGCGCGTGGTGGCCATGTGCACGGGGGAGCCCGAGGACCAGGTCGACGCCGTGGTTGATGGTCTGCTCAGGGCGGTGGAGAGCGAAAAGGGCGAATTGGAGGTTGAGCGGGTGAGGCGATTCCTCGGCGGCGTCGAGGGCGTGGTGCACTAGTGGGTGGTATCACGGATCAACAGGCTGGTGGAGGAAAAGAAGAAGAAGAAGAAAAAGAATAAGTGCGGTTGAGTACAGTGGGATAGCTATTTTGTGTGGACGTCATCATACCCCCCCGTGTTGGAGAAATAGGACCTTTTTTTTTTCACGCCATTGGACCCTCTGGCCAGTATTCATATATTCCAAAGAGGAGAGGCTGTTTGCCAGGTTTTTTAACCTTGGGCGTTGGATTGGCAATTGGGAGATGCGCAAGGCAAGGCTCAGAATATCATGATATTATTCGTCTCAAAAGACATTGGCTCACAATACAAGAGACGTATGCTATAACTGCTGAATTCAGATGTAAATTTCAATTATCAGACTCGTCAAGGGGTTTCCAACACGTCTCTTACACGTATGGATGCTTGACCGCCTAGATATACCTAGCAGATAAAGATAAACATGCCACTTGAGGGCCTAGTTTGAATTTGCCCCCAAAAACGCCTTGCAATGCTGCTGTGAGATTCTGAAAACAAAACATCGCTGCCCCTTCTCCTTGCCCTCTTCCTCTTCCCCAGCCTTTGTTCATCTTGCAAAGTCCTCACGACGCGAGACCTGACGCATAAAGACCCTCCCATCGCTCTTCGACGCCGCCCACCAACTTCTTGGCCCTCTCAATCTCCCTGTCCAGCTCTTCCACATTGCGCGAAAGCGCGCTGACCTCCTCGAACCGCCGCGCATCCCGCGCAGAGTCCACCATTTGCTGCACCATGAAGCGCTGCTCCTCCAGGACCACCAGCCGCTCGCGCGCCTCCTTCTCTTCCGTCTCGAGCGCCGACACAGCGGTGCTGGTCTCGCTTGCTTGGCTGGCCGTCTCGGATTCGGCGAGCTCTTGATTACGAAGTGGCGATAGGTGCAGGGAAGATGATGATCCGTTAACGCTACCAGATTGCAAAGCGCGCAGTCGAGACGTCTGCGAAGACCGGGAGCGTAGTATTTGCGGTACAGACTTGAGAGTCAACATATGGGTGTGCAAAAATGTGGACGCAGCCGCGTAGACGGCTTGCTGTAGGCGAAGCTGCGTCTTTGAGGTCGTCTTCATATCGCGGAGACGGCGTGCGGCCGTGTCGTATTTGGTGAATGCATCGGTGAGACGTTTCCGGATTTTTGAGGCCTCCTGAATCTGGGCATGCGTGGGCGGCGGTTTTGATGCGTTGGTTCCATCGTCCCCCTCTGGCTGGAGCGCAAGTAATGTCCGTTGGAAGATGGGCATAAGCTGGCGGATACCACGTTCGAATTGGCGCAGTGTCTCATAAGCGCGCTGGTCGGCTGGCTTATGGGAGATGGTCGCCGCAAAGTCACGCTTGGCGAAGATTGTATGATTGCACTCGCGACACATGCGAACGTCGATGCTAAGTTGGCCAGGCTGTGCCGCCGTCGGGGGCTTCTCTGTCGCAGGACTCGTAGCTGAGACTGTTAGGCGCGATGCCGGTGATGATCCTGCGGATTGAGACTCACGACTGGCTATGCTCAAGCCCACCTCACTCGAGCAGCCTGTAAGTGGATCGGCGCAGACCACCCGGCCACATATCCGGCAGTGATGTCGTCTAAACGTCCAGGATCCGAACTCTTGCTGGCAATACGGGCATTGCATGACGGAGGCGTCGTCCTCCCATGTGACCACTGACTGCTCGAGCAGCTTCCTTTGGTTCTTCTGACCGGCCAACGCGGCGACAGGCGACAGCAGACCTCCATTTGTCGTGACATCTTCGGGCGCATTCGCAAGCAATTGCGTCAGCTTGGTCAAACGCTTTTCCAGCCTAGCCACTTCGAGATTCTGCCTCTCCACCTTCTTCCGTCGCATCTCCGCAAATGTCGAGGTGTGGTCAATCAGGACACCGTTGTGGTCGTTGTAGCCGTCTCTCGACTTGTAACACGTCTCGCAGACTCGGACCCAGTATCCCCGCACGGGGTCATGCTGGGCAGACCTCGACAGCTTCATTTGATACATGGTGTGCTCCTCGCAGAATAGCCTGCCGCAATTCCGACAATTTATGCTTCCATTAACAGCCCCAAGCCCTTTCCCGCACGCTGGGTCGGTGCATCGGTCGTTGCTCGTTTGGCGTTGCCAGTGCGATCGAGTAATGAGCTCGTCCGGTTCTATCGGGCCCTCAATGAGCTTCGCGGTCGTCGGCGGGGCGATTGGCAGAGACTCGTTGGATTCGAAGACGTCGAGGCCTCGCAGTTTTTGATTAATTATAGATAGGGGTTGGAATCGCTTGGCCTTGAGCACCTGCTTGTCGAACCAGGTGCGGACTTCATCTTGCTCGACCTCGGGGAGTTCTTGGTGGTTGTCGTCGATATGTCTGGGGAGGGTCAGGGACTAGAGTTCAGCGTTGCCAGGACGGAAAGCCAAATTCACCTGTTGAGTTGAAGCAGCGTCAACTGGGATTGACAGTTAGAAAACCTCTCAATCTTGGCAGAAGGTTTGACAGACCATTTCCTCTTCACATATTGGGCAGACCAGCTTGGAGCTTGAGGAAACGGCTCGTGAAGGCCCGCCAACGCTAATGTTGGAGATAAGATCCTGTGCGAAGTCGGGTAGAGGGCTTGTGACTGGAGGCGAAGCCGAGGAAGAGTTGAGCGACAGAGTGCTTTCGGAGGGAGCAAAGGGACTGGGTGTGCGTTGGTGGCCGTTGATAGCGGGAGGCGTGGGAGGGGCGAGGCCTTTGCCGCTGCCTAAGATGCGGCCGCCTCCCAGCTTGCGGCCGGACATCGTGGAAGACGGAGGTGGAAAGCTACGAGACCATGAATTGGTGGTGGAGAGGAAGGGGATGGCGGCGGGAGGTTCGGTTCTTGGACTCGACGGAGAGTTGGGTATCAGAAGGGCGGGGGAAGATGTGTAGATGGCAGATGACCGACGCAGGCCGCAAGTGCAAGTGGTTCGTGGCGGTGGTTCGTCTTCCCGGGTCACCTCAGCTAAGGTTGGTTCCAGTTCCAGTCGCAGGTTCCCGCGCAGCCCGTCAGGCCCCTTCCCTGCCAGGGATTGAGAGCATCAGCAGCAAGCGGTGGGCGGGATGGCAAGCAGGGCGGTGGGAGCAGTTGGAGCCTTGGAGGAGCAGAAGACAGGGGCTGTGGAACAACGCATTCGGCGGGATTTGGAGTCTGGGACGCTAAAGACATGCGCTAGAGGCTGCGCTAGTGGAGAGACGGGCAGACCAGGCCCACGGACAGGGGAAAGGCGGGGCAGCCCGGTGCAGATTGATACAGAAGTACACATGAATACACACAGTTTCAGCTTGTCAAGAAGTACTGTTCTATCGTGCAGACCGCCATTACGTCCCTGGCTTTGGGGACGCCAGCTTTATCGGCGGCCTTCGCGCCTTATCGCGCCGACCTGGGGGCTGCATCTCTCCAAAAATGCTGCCCAAAAAGTTGCCTTCTTCATCGAGGCCTCAAACTCATCCCACAACACAAGCTCGCCGTCCTCACTACACACTATGGCTGCCAAGTCGACGACGAAGAAATTCCCCGAAGTCAAGGGCGGCGGCAGCCTGATTCTGGCATGGCAGATTAAAGGAAAAAAAGTGCTGGTTGTTGGAGGAGGAGAGGTATGTTGCACAAACCACCACCGCATCTCCGCGGCATAGCTGAAGCTCTGTCTGTCTGTCTGTCTGTCTTGCGTCAGAAATGACTCTACCCTCGTGGCCAATCCCCTGAAGGACACTGAATGTTTGCATGTACTAGGTTGCCGCCGGCCGGATCCTCAACTGTCTCGATGCCGACGCCAGTGTCACCGTTGTCTGCCCGGCCTCTGGCCTCAATCCCGAAGTGGCCCATCGCGTCGAGAAAGCGCAAGTCACCCACGTCGACCGCCTCTTCGAGCCCTCCGACCTGGATGGTGCAGCCATGGTCCTTGTCGCCATTGACGATCCGGCCGCCTCTACCATAATCTGGAAGCTGTGCAAGGAACGCAAAGTGCCCGCCAACATTGCCGACGTGCCGCCAGAATGCGATTTCTACTTTGGCAGCGTCCATCGGGACGGACCCCTTCAAATCATGGTCAGCACCAATGGCAAGGGTCCCAGGCTGGCCGCCATTATAAGGCGGCATATTGCAAAGTCGCTCCCCAAGAATGCCGGAAATGCGATTGAGGCCATTGGTACACTCAGGGCGAAGCTGCGCAAAATGGCTCCGAACTCGGAGGAAAGCCCCAAGCGCATGGGCTGGTATGTGTGATCCGGCATCCAGCGGCTTTACTCTGGGAGATGCTTACAATTGAGCAACAGGATGATCAAGGTCAGCAACAAATTCGACTGGGAAGAGATATGCGATCTCACCGACGAGGATATGGAGAACCTCCTCAGGTTCTATGCGACCAACGAGGTGCCCACGATCGACGACCTCTTAGCCATGAGAGAAAACCCCGGTTTCAACACAATGGATGTGTTTGATGGGTCTTTTGGTTTCTGCGTAGGCGTATGAGCGCCGACCATGTACATATGTACATATATACCGGATAAAGGTGTTTGAGCGGTATTGGGCGTGATTTCGTTGGGGTTATCTAGAATGCTTCATTGGCGACATCTCACGACATGAAAAGGGTTTTGGTATTAAAAGACCAGGCGCAATATGGCATCACTGGCTTAGAATTGGGCTTTGGGGCAGTATACTATTCAAACAGCAACAGTAGACAAGGAATGGCATCACCAAGTCGGAACCTCGGCTCGTGTTCAGGTGCTTCCTCCCAAGGGCAACGACAAGCTTATCTCACAAGCTGTGGAGTATTCGGCAAGGTTGCCTGGCAAGAATCGGGCGAACTTGGGATTGCGATCTTGGATTCATCTACCATCTCCATATCCGCCCTATTTCTCATCGTAAAGCAACATGCTGGAATGAGTCTTTGTGGCGTTTGATGGTGGGAGTTGCCGAGTGAGGTGGTGGTCCAGCGGTACTCTGCCTAGGCAAAAAGGTATCTATCATGCCTACTTCGAGGGGGACTCATTTACCAATGCCTCCCACTGGCTTCTCTGGTCCTGACGGATTTAATTTGTACCTGGGATGATGGAGCTATATCGCCTTGAGTCTTGGTGCGAACTCAATATCATGGTCATGGATGATTTTCTTTTGAAAGTACTTCGGTCGAGAATCCCGGAGCTGGCGCCGATGGGTCCACAAAATCGGTGCGGCGGCCTGTGCGAGTACTCTGTACCTCCCTTCGGGTATCTTTCGCCGCAACTCTTCAAGGAGTCCAATTCCATGGCAACTCATCCAACCTTACACACCGCTAAACAAAGTATCTCAACCAACATACCCGGTGTCAACCGCGCTTAAATAACTTTGTGCAGACAGAGTTTTTATCACACCATTGCATTGACACGTTTTCTTCTTCCTGTGCCCGAGCACCGAGCAAGACGGGCGCCAAGCCGTCCCACTCCATCCTCTTTGCGTTCAATACATCTCACCTACCTTTACTCATACACGAGATCCGCGTGCTTCCGCAACACCCACGATTGATCGCGCCGGGAGACATAGCTAGCCGACGTGCATTCCTCACTGGCGATTCCTACGATTCCACCATCGATTACAAGAGTCGCAGAACGAGCCAGCACCAACGCGTCGCCTGTGCAATTCCTAGCAGTTCAAGACACCATCGCTCCCCGTGCCATCTTTCGGGTCTCTAGCACCCTGAATCACCTCTTCGCCATGCCTCCTCGGGGCCAAAATAGTGCGGCCGAATCCGATCCCGAAGTGCTACCCGACAGACCTTTCTCATCGCCCCTCGAGGAGCGCGAGCCGCCTCCGCCCTTCTTCAACACCACCTTTTCCACCCACCGCGCATCGCCGCTCTACGTCGGCGCCAATACCCTGGGCTTTCCTCGATTGCAGACACTATCACAGCGCTTACGCGACACGCTCGTGGGAGACGTTGTCAGAGGTGTGCAGGTTGGGTTGGAAGGCAGCGATAGCTCGCTAGGACGCGCTGGTCCGTTGGAAAAAGTTGGCATTCGGTGGGTTGGTGTCGAAGCTCTTCTCGGCGGCGTCGACGATACAGACCCCGATCTGAGCCGGGATTTGAACAGCGACGCCGTCGAAGGCGATGCGGCCCGCAAGAAGAGATGTCTCGTTTTTGAGATGAGGTACGAGAATGCGCTATGCACGGCAGTGCTGCTGCCGTCGCTCTCAGAAGAGGCCACAGAGGATTCTTTAGGTGGACTGCACATGGCCCACAACCTCGGCGTGCCCGGACTGCCTACTAGCAGTGGCTCAAAGGAGGACAGACACTTTCTGCATTTACCCTTGCTTCTTTTGCGGATGCCCGCGCCTCTGAAAACCGTCATTGTCGACTTCCTGTCAAGCACGTTCGACTGTCGCATCAGCCCTATGCGCCTCGGCACGAAGGGCCTTACTACGGCATGGGAGAGATGGATCGAGGATGCCGGTCTCCCCTCACAAGGTTCTCTCGCAAAAGACATGGTCCTGACCCTGGGCTTCTACATACCACCTGCAGTAACCACAGATGGGACAGACGAAGAACCCCCCGACGGGCTCGGAATCAAATCTATCGACATCATCATACCGGCCGAGGAGCTCAGGCGATTTGTAAAGGAAGGGAGAACCATCATGAACCCCACGCCTGCCAGCCGCACAGGGCTTACACAAGGCTATCAAGACGATCCGAGGAAGAGGAAAAGGCTCGCAGGCGGGAAGGCGGACGAAGGATGGGAATGGGTCGATAGCGGGGGAGAGAGGCAAGAACCGTTCCTACGTGCATTGGGTGCCTACTTGGAAAAGCATCTTGCCCTCAATCTCTTCCATCCCGGAGTGAGAGTCACCAAGATTGCTTGTGGCGGGTTCGTGCTTTCAGAGGGGCGAATCAAGGTGTTCGTGCCACCTGGTGACGACGAAGTCTATGATCCGGTCAGAAATCTCATCAGCGGCCTCATTGCCAGCGCCAATTCTTGAAACATTGAGGCCCTGAGGAGTCATACACAACCACGAGCAAGGTCATCGCCACAGTGTCTGCATCGGTGAAGCTCCCTTGGACGTGTGAACAATCGAAAGGAAAGAGTTTTGGATTCGACGACACGACCACTACTTCACCTCAAAAAGAGCGTGCGAATAGCACTCATCGTACCCCCGGATCTTCCCAGGGATGGGATCATGTTGATGGACGACTTTTGTACCACCCAACCGAGGTCAGAATCCGGGGACGGGGTCAATTTACATCAATCTTGAGCGGCGCACACCGGTCACCCCAAAAGCAACATTTAGTCGACGGGAATATCTATGAAACGTCTCCCATAAGCGACAATGGTAGCTTAGCTTCCAGGGTTTCATTCGGCACGCATCAAACGAGGGTAGCCTTTTGCGACTACGGAGGCCCCGCGAAATTCGGGCCCCCCGAAGTTCGGATGCTACCTAAACGCCTCACTTCAGCCGCCCTCGTAATAGCTTGCAATTTATCTGCGAAGCACGAGACCACTGCACAACCGGCACGCTGCCGCCGAGTGCTTCTCTCGATGTGCCCGTCCTTGCTTGACTAGTCCTCCTGGGTAATATCACTGCCGGATGCTATCCAGGACGAACACATTCAGCCGCCATCTACCATGCTTATTCCCCGCGTGACCAGGGGAAGTGCGTTTTTGCTAGTCCGGCTGGTACCCGCTTTCTTTACGATCAACAACACCTTCCGTGCCATTGCGGCTTATTACCTCCGAACTTGGCTTTCCAGAACCGGCTGGTATCCAGGTCTGTATGCGTACAAATGCGAACCTTTCGTTTGGGTTTGGGCCGTACCCAAATGAGCAATTTCCCTTATGGTTAAAGTAGTCTTAGCAAATGGGTGGTCCTTCATCTAAGACCAAGGCATGTTTGGTAGTTAGAGAGCCTCCATCTACCCGACGCTGCAAACGCCAACTCTATAAAGGCGACTGGATAAGACAATGAAGAACTCTTTCCGCAATACCTCGGCCCGCTATTTACCAACTCGCCGAGCACTATGAAATTCTCCTTGGGCCTCGTCTGCCTGTTGGCACCCATCATCACCGTCCTCGCCGCTCCTCTCGAGGAGAGGCAGGCCGCGCAGTCCATCGACAAGCTGATCAAGGCCAAGGGCAAGCAGTACTTTGGAACCTGCAGCGACCAGAACCGCCTGACAGCCGGGAAGAACGCCGACATCATCAAGGCCAACTTTGGACAGGTCACGCCGGAGAACTCGATGAAGTGGGACCAAATTGAGCCCAACCGCGGTCAATTCAATTGGGCCACGCCCGACTACCTCGTCAACTTTGCTCAGCAGAACGGCAAGCTCGTCCGCGGACACACCCTCGTCTGGCACTCTCAGCTTGCGGGCTGGGTGAACAACGTCCGTGACAAGGCTGGCCTAACTACCGTCATCGAGGACCATATCAAGGCCGTTGTGGGCCGGTACAAGGGCAAGATCTACCACTGGGTGAGTCTACGCATGTCTACTCCTCTACATAAGAACTTACTGACCCTTCTATGATTAGGACGTCGTCAACGAGATCTTCAACGAAGACGGCTCGCTCCGTTCGTCTGTCTTCTCACAAGTCCTTGGTGAAGACTTTGTCGGCATCGCTTTCCGCGCCGCCAGGGCCGCCGACCCGAACGCCAAGTTGTACATTAATGACTACAATCTCGACCAGGCCAGCTACGCAAAGACGCAGGCAATGGCCCGCAAGGTAAAGGAGTGGATTGGCAAGGGCATCCCCATTGACGGTATCGGTACGTGTCGAGCCAGCCAATTTTCAACGAAGCGTGTGTCGTGAGCAGACGCTAACAGTATTTCGCTAGGTTCCCAATCCCATCTTCAAGCCAACCAAGGCGGCAACGTCCTCGGCGCCCTGCAGACCCTCGCCGGCAGCGGCGTCAAGGAGGTCGCAATCACGGAGCTGGATATCGTCGGCGCCAGCGCCGCTGACTACACGGCCGTCACAAAGGCGTGTCTCCAGGTCCCGCAATGCGTCGGTATCACGGTCTGGGGCGTGCGTGATCCGGATAGCTGGAGGGCGCAGAACAACCCTCTCTTGTTCGATGCCAACTATAACCCCAAGGCGGCTTACAATGCGGTGGTGACTGCTTTGCAGTAAGATTCTTGCCCGCTGTGGCGGGAATTTGGCCTCTTCTTCTTGCAGGCCACATCCGGTCTCTGCCTTCATGTACAAATGGGAATCTTGCGCAAGTATGTCGTATATAGGAGTCTGATATGCACAAACCTATCCTTGACAACTTGGTTCTCATCTTTCGACACTGCAAACAGAATATGGACATGTTTGAGGGCTAAAATCTACCTTGGCGCGTACCATAAGAGGTGAGCATTTGTGACATCGACTCATCCTAGACTCCTCGTGTCTCCAGATCTCTTTCAGCTTCCCGGCAAACTGCGAAACGTTCGCTTCGTCCAACATGGAGTAGTGCTCCCCTGGAACGTCGTGAAACCGCACGTCAGCCACGAAATCCCGCCACCGGCTCAGTTTGTCCTGAACCCAATCCTCACGGTTGAAAGCCACCTCCTGCAGGGGATCTGCGACAAACACGTCCATGCTGCGAATAGCCCCCTGTGGTTCGTAGTCTTGAGCCAGGCTCTGAAGTGCCGATGCTAAATCTGCCCATTTGACGTACTCGTCTTCGCTGAGGCCCAACTCAAGCCAACGATTTACGTTGCAGAGGGTCCGAAGGTGGGCGACTGCCTCTGTCTTGGTGGTTTTGCGCAGCAGCGGTATCTGTTGCATAGCAAGATCTTGTTCCATGAGCTTCGTGAAGTGGAACAGATTAGCGAGACATTCTACCCAACCGAGCTGCCTCATGCGATCCTTGATGTGCGGCGGTAGGTTCCAGCATCCGCAATATCGAACCTCATCGCCTGCCGCCTCCAGTTTCTTACATACTTCAAAAGCAATCATGGCGCCGAACGAATAGCCCGCGATGGCGTACGGGCCTTTCGGCTGGACCGCTTTGAGATGTTCAAAGTAGTGATCCAGCAATGCACCCAGGGTAGTAAATGGTGAAGTACCGCTTTCGAGGCCCTCGGCGCGGAAAGCGTACACTGGCCGATCGTCAATATGTCTTACAAGGTTCATGAAAACAAGGACTTCTCCGACACCGGGATGTACGAGCCACAGGGGTGTCCTTTCGCCCTCTGAACGGAGAGTGACCACTGGGTTTCCTATCGAATCCTTCCTCCCGGACCCCTGGACTACAGTAGCTAGGCGTCGAGGTGTTGGATTTCTCAGGATTTGGCTGAGCGTGAGTCTTTCTTGTAACTGTAGTCGATCCGAAATCAGGCGGCTGATTTTGATGAGGTCCATCGACGTAGCACCAAGCAAGAAAATCGAACTTTCGGCGCTGATATGTGAGTCTTCGACGACTTGGAAATAGTTCCGAAATGCGTCGCAAATGATTGTCTCAAGTGGTGAATCAATCCTCTCCGTGATGGCATGGTCTCCTCTGGAGGCTTCGCTCGCCTTACGCAACTCCTCGATGTAGACTCCCTTCTCAAAAGCTGCTTTGATTGAGCCCCTGGGCAGCTTTCCCAGGACAGATGGCTTGATATCCACGGCATTAAGAGGAAGAATGATGGCGGACGAAGATGTGTGTACGCCGACGACTTCGAGTATCCTATTGTGAGTTTTGCACCGGCCTCGTATGTCATCCTCCTCGATGGAGGGCAGGTACGCGACGACGATCTGCTCCGTGTCAGCCCACTGAGGTAAAGTTGAGAAGCAGCAATAAGAGCCTGGAACTGCCCCGAGAATCAGCTCCTTGTCGAGATGGCCTTCCAGCTCACTTGGAGAATGCTTCACTCCGTTGATAATCATTGTATCTTTAGAGCGTCCGTGGAGGTTTACTTGGCCGTCGGGGTTGACGCGAGCAAGGTCACCAGTAGTAAACCAGCCATCGATTGTGAATGCAGCCGCGGTAGAGTCGCGATCATTATAATACCCATTAAAGACCACATCCCCTGAAAGCTGCAAAAGCCCAATTTCGCCCGCCGGAGCATCGGTAGCCGACCCCTGGCCGTCTCGGAGTCTTACTCGCAGCTTTATGCCTGGGATACCTTCACCAACGGCGACATGCTGGTGTTTTGATTCTCGATCATTTGTCAGACAGTTGGTGTTGTATATGCAGCCAGCACAAGTTTCTGTCATGCGGAATCCTGGGACGATGATGTTTTTGCAGGCACCGTACTTCTCGAGTTGGGATTGAAGTGCCTCGCAGACACCCACCGTGTTTGCCTCTCCCCCGGAACCGAGCCATCGAAGGCATCCGAGATCCAGATCTTCGTCCAACGACGATGGCTTGTCCGACGCAAGCTCTCTACATAGCTTCGCCAAGAACGAATGAGGGGCGAATGTCCGCGTTGCCCGATGGCGGCTGACAACATTGAGTAGCTGCAAAGGGTTGGACAGCACCTCGTTGGCGGGGATATGGACTTGAGAGATGCCCATATATATCGCATGGAGGTGAATCTCAGTCAGGCACGCGACATGGTCCATGCCGATCCAGTTGAGATAGGGACCGTCGTCGTCCTGTCTCGCAGACTTGGCTTTGCCTTGCAAGGAAGCTAGAATCTGACCATGACTGAGCTGCACCGCCTTGGGTTTGCCAGTTGTACCCGATGTAAGCATCAGAACCGCCGGATCGGACTGTGTAAGAGAGACGGGTAAATGTGACGTAGATGTCGATTCGCTCATTGAGGCAAGGCGTTGGGAAGTGGTTCTTTCGATCGGCAACTTTGCAACGACGTCTAGCGTTTCAGGCGTTTCTAATAACGACTGGTGGACTATACATAGCGGATCCCTCAACAGACTGCATAGATGTGAAAAGTATGCTAACCGGTTGGGCTCAGAACCGACGCAGTCGAGATTGCCGGCAGGAGTCTTGCAATCACGGCCGACCAGAACCAGATAATGGTATCCAGAATATTGTCGAGGCACAGCAGAACAACGCGGCGTTTTTCAGCGTTTCCACCGGATGGCGGGCAGAGCTGTTGGAGAAGATGAGCATTTGCGTAAGCCGTGCGGAGCAAATCTGAATAGGAAACGACTGTCGGCAAGGGGTCTTCTAGTATGTCCCCCGCTATAATGGAGTGAGATGAAGACTCGGCGGCATTCCGAAGAATGTAGACCAGATCCTGTCCTTGGCCGGTCTTCTTTACCAGACCCCGAGATTCCATTGGTAGGTTGGTCTGAAGTATGGTCTGCATTGGAGATTTATGCTCGGTAACTCAGAAGCTAATGCTCAAGTGAGTATCATTTGCCAGGTATGCAAGATGATTCATCTATGTAAGTCATATAAAGTGTCGTCTGCGTCTTCTCGGAATTTCTGTCCTGATCAGCACATAGTATTGGAGTCAGATCGATGGGCGAGGATGATGATTCATGGGAAGAGATAATCGGTGTGGCTGACAGGATGGCCATTCTCAGGTTTGTCATCGGGGTTTCTCAATGGACTCATCTAACAATTCCGTGTGCATGGCCGGAAATCTAGCAAACAACAAGGGGGTCTGTTTGTCTTAGTTTGCAGGGAAGACTACCCAATCATGCAGGCGAAGTGACAAGTTCCAAAACTGACGGCACTGGCATTGACTGGATTGGCCAACCACATGTACTACACCCTGCCAGGCCGATCTCATTCGATGCGCCAATTACCTCGCTATCATTTCTATTAACATGTCAGTCCCGGCAAGATATCGCCTCAGTCCGAAGTCAGCAAATGTCGGACGACGTCAGCTTTCTGCCGCACCGGGCTTCACCACAGGAACAGGCGCCTACTTGCAAGCCATTACGATTATGATAAAATATGAGGTCTTCTCATATATCAGCGGTGTGAGCTTCAGGACTTAGTCCCGCATCGCTGGCGAATGAAAAGACTAAAATATGGTGAGATATGATGCTTTACAGCCCGTACGTTAGACTTCTGCCAACCGTAAACAAACAAAGGCTTTTCTCCATAGCCAATTGCCGAAACGTCTTCAACTTATGAGAACAGGAAGATTTTTAGGACTCAATACTAACTGGTGCCTGCACACACTGCCAAGTGTCATGTTTGCTTTGGGCTTTCATGCTATGGAACGGGGCATTGTAGGCCGTTTGAACTGCAAGGCAACTACCTTGGTTCCCTGGAGCCGATTATAGCAACAATTCATTTGAAGAGTAGCTTCCCACCCTTTTGCGTATTCTTTCTGTGATACCATCTAACAGAACCTTGACTGAGGTCCTCTGACTCCTTCTGCTAATAGGAGTTCCAATAGTATAAGTCGTAGAGAAATCACAGTCTCGGTGTGAAGAGCAACATTGATGGATCAAACTGGGTCTGGTTGGGCTATGACTCGACTAATAACTCGCAGCGGTTTGTATTTCCGGTGTCTCCGAGATGCTACACCGCCGCATGACCCGGAGGATTGGTTCCTGAAAGGACCGGGCCGAGGCGGGCAGGCAGGAGGTCTGCGGCAAACTCTGACTCAGATCTAGTAGCCGACTTACACCGAAAGTCAATTCCAGAAAGCTCTGGTCAAATGATGGGTCTAGTGACTAGATTTGAGTCCGGTCTAGTCTCTTTGTTAGCAGCTAATTGTAAAGAATCATATCAGATGTCACTGACTTTGACGAGTAATCCCAAGAATGATAGGTATTTATGTATGGAATTATGAAAAACTATAACAGTCGCTTCTTTGGGTGTTATACCGGTTCCATCGCTGAAAGTTTCTCTTGAAGGTCCACAGCATGACATAAAGCTCAACGTGTAGACTAGAAGATTAAAGAAATCGTGATTGGGAAATCATCAGAAACGGCAGTTGTCAATCTACGACGTTTTCCGGGCGAAATGTTGAACCGGCTCCATTCAAAGATGGAAAGGAAACGCTCGACTACTCGGCAATTGAAAAAGTTTGGCTTCCTAGACGCGGCTAGGCAAGCGGATACGTAGAAGGTCAAGTTGAGGAGCGTTCTTGAGAGTTGATACTGGCAGTCCAGCAGTAATTGACAAGTCGGAATAATGATATGGGACCAGCTTTTCCGTGAAGACTATCCGTACGGAAGTAGTATACCGGCCTTCTTCCCTTCCATGGACCGGCTCCGTTGCCGGCCCATTCAAGAAGGTTGTCTATACCGGCCCGGTTCCGAGTCCGGCTTCCGGTCCGTCAACGGTGGATATCTTGGCCCCGCGGACTGACTTTCTCCGTGGAAAAGTCCATTTGATAGCCCCCAAAGTCTAGCTGCACAACGCCGTCACAGTGGTAGGAATGAAATGCCGATACCCCAACAGGTATAATCACAATAGCCGATGTCTTAATTACCGCCATGACAACGGCTAAAGTTTCCTTCAATGTATATTTCAAAACATTCATACGAGTCGCACACGGCTACAAGCGGAAAAATTTCATATCATCGTCACCCCGAATTGGCACCGTGTGTCCAACCCCAGTAGCAAAGACACCAATGAGGTTCTCACCAAACACATCCGTGCGATAGTTAGCAATAGGGGTGTTCTGAGAAGAATTGATAGGCTTGTCCGGGTTGTAGCCAAAGACGCCAGACCACTGCTTGATCGTCTCCTGGTAGTCGGCGGGGTTGAGCGTTTTGTCGATGCTGCCGTGGTAGATCTGCATGCGGGTGCGGGGCCCGGTGTAGCCGGGGTCGGCGTCATAGACCCATTGGGCCCAGCGCTGCGGCGTGGCAATCGATTTGCCTTGGGCGCAGGTGCTGTTCCAGCCGTCGACCGTACCGGTGTAGAAGCAACCGGCCGGGACGCCGTTGTAGACGATGCCAGCCGCGAAGACGTCAGGGTAGGTTGCAGCCAGGACGTTCTGTTGCTCGTTAGTCACTCAATCATGTTTTGTGGGGTCGTGGGTGATGACTTACCGTCATCATAGCACCGGAGGAAGAACCCGTGACGAATACCTTGGACTTGTTGCCCTTGTACTTGTTCAGGGTGTACGAAACCATGTTGGCGATGGAGTTGCTGTTGGCCCCGCCGTTGTGCGTGAGAGTTGCCCTGGACGAGACATCCCAGCAGGTTCCTGAGTATGGGGACTCGGGATAAATAACGATGAAGCCCTTCTGATCTGCGAGGGTCTTGTAAGGGCTGTTGTTGTAGTAGGCTTGAGCTGTACCGGTGCAGTAGTGGATAGCCACGATCACGGGAGGATTGGCGGCCAGGTTGTCGGGAACGTAGATGTACATCTTGACGCCGCTGGGATTCGACCCAAAGCTGGTGACCTGCTGCAGCGAGGCGGCGCTGGCAGAGGCGGCCAGGCCAAGAGCGGAGAGGATCGTGCTGAACTTCATAGCTATGATGGGCTTACAACCAAGTGTGTGCTGATTCGGTCCCTGGCTATCAGTCCTAAGTTTGCGCTCGAGCACTACTTATAGTCTCAGGGAACGGAGCAAGCGAAGTTGTCAAAAGAGGTCCCCGTGCCACATCCAGCAAGTTTTATAGACTTTCCTTACGCCGCTCGTTATTGGCACCAGGGGCCGCATGCACTATGTGTAAAACCCGATGATTTCGGTACCCCACATCCAGGGTCGTGTTGCAAAGGGGCCGTCAACGTCTATTTAGCCGGTTGGTAACTTGGCTGGGGGCCGTGCCAGTTCCTCGTCCGAAAGGGAAAGGGAACTGCCGAACTGGTTCATCTGGACTACTCGAAAAAAGCTTTTCTTCGGCACTTGCCATTGCCACCGAAAGGGAACCCGGCTCTTTTGAAACTTTGGGTGCCGAAAGCCGTTGTACAAAGTGGCTCTAGCATTGGCCTTCCCAAAGGGTGTGCCTTGCACGGCGGAGGCAGACGAGCCTTGGGCCCTAAGGAGGTGGCATTGCTGTTGTATGCGGAGAAGTTGACAGGGTGTTTCGACTGGCCATGCCGGGCAGGGGTGATGCTACCACGCTTGGTAAATTCTATTGCCGAACTTGCTGGGATCCCACGTCGAAGCACTTGGTGATGAACTGCTTTGGTGGAGTTGAGATGAAGCTTGAAAGAAGGGGCTGGGTTTGACAGGCCATATCATCCTCGCAACGCAAGACTACCTCGCCTCAATCTGGGTGAACAAGCAGTATTTAATACTCCATTGACTATGGTGAATTGTTGAATGGAAGGCTTAAGCTTGCCGTGCTACCGATTAAAACTCCGTTGCCCCTTAGCCCCGACGGATATATCTCGCATACGTTCCGGATGATCCGTTTGCCCAACAACTATTTTGCACCAATGCAGCAACCAGTCATATAAGCTGATATCTTAATCATGGTTTCGTACATCCTCGACAGCTAGACAGCCTTCGCATTATATGCGCGATCATTGAACGTCCGGCATCCAGTAGACTGGCGAGCCTTCAAAGTTGGGAAACGTAGCAAAGGCCTGAAGACAATCAGCTCAACATCCAAGTTGGAAACTCTGGAGAAAATCGTGTACCGAAGAATCCAAGTCCAGCCAATCTGTGGTCTCCCAACCACTCAGGAGGTTCGTCATCCCTTCAAAGCCGTGCTGCTGGAACACCTCACCCATATCGGCTGGCGGTGCTGGAGCGCCCGAACTGTCATCCAGCTGCATCGGCTCAGCACCTCCGTGATCGGCTCGTTCAATAATCGGCCTTTTCTCGCGGCCGGAGGGACCTTCGGAGTAGAAACTGGCTTCTTGTCGAAGCTCTTCAAGTATGACAGAGTATCTGCGGCTGGGGCTCTCGGCAGTCGTCGCTTTTGTCAAGTGATTCTGACAGCGATCTGCCAACTCAAAGAGCCCCCTTTCCCCATCCTGTCTTCCTCTTTGAATTTCATAAACGTACACTACTGCCAGCGCACAAAAAGTGACATACGGTGTCCACCAGAAGGCGTGGAATAACGTTCCGTCACTGGCCATGCCGTCAACCGTCTCGAGCGCAGCCTTTGCCGCAGTGATGCACTCGTCTATGCTGTCGTCTAGAGGGGACCGCTGACCACCTCTTGAGCCACCCGTACCAAGGAGAAAGGGCCGGTTGGCGTGCATGATGGCATGGCAATATGCGAGCTTCAGCGCTGTATTCTGCCTTCTGAATGATGGAATCAAAGACATCGGCCGAACAGTGCCTAAATGATGTGGCAGAGATTCGCGCCACTGGTGTAGAGCCTTTCCATATCGATGCGCAATCATGAGACGGTCGTCTTTATGCACAGGCTTGATCGAATACACCTCTTGCGAGATACCGTCAATGATTTGGGCGAGTTTCGCGTGGAATATGAGGCTCTCTACGTGGCAATCCATTTCGGGCTCGTCACTGGATCTTCCTTGGGGTGTCATGTCCTCATCGTTGACGCAGTCTGGGAAGTCCTGGTCGATGTCGTCGTCGCGATACATCCTCGGACGGCCGAAGACAACCGAAAGATATTTGTCAATGGTATAGGCCACCCAGAAAGTCCTCTTCCTGCACTGCGAGAGAATGTAGTCCTTATCGCTGCTGCCCCTATTCCGCCCGGATTTCCGATGTAGACCCAGGGCTGATATGATGGGGAGAATGCTCCCAAAGACGTACCACGCTTGGTTCATGCGGGATGATTGGAGGAGGTATAGAACCTGCAGCAGGCGCGCTTGTGAGGATTCCAGCTTCGGCAGCCCGATCTCCATGTCCGTCAGACTCAAAGCCTGGCAAAAGAGGGCGTCGCTGCGCTGAAGGTCAGAACCCTCTCCCTCGCCAGCACTTCGGACCTTGCTTTGGCGGAGAGTAACGATGGCGAGAATCGTCAAGACAATAGAGGCCTTGGCGTGGCCAATCTCGTGGTGTAGGGCTCGGCTGTTCTTTGCATTTGCAAGCAAAACTTCAAACCATTGGGCAACGTAACCTTGATGCAAGCATCGATAAGTTACTACGCAAACATTAAAGTAAAAGTCCAGCATGTCCAAGCCGACCGTTCGGTCGGGAAGGGTCGAAACGTCCAACGATTCCGACTCGAAAGGCCTGTCTCCCGCTCTTGTTAGCCTCTGGTGCTGTTCCGCGCCGCTGGGTCTGTTTCCTGGAACGTCATGGGTGTTTGATTTCTGTGACGAAAGACGCTTCCACGCTCGGTGCAGAAATGTCAGACTCGAGGTGGTGTCGACATACTGCCCTTCGATTTCGGCAATCTCGACTTCCGGCGAGGCTCTTGATATTGGTAGAACGCTTCCGCGACCGCCTCCCACGACGTCTCGCTCCTCAGTCACAAGATTAATGCTTCTCGTCTGAGCCGTACTCTTACGGGCCGCTTCGGGGAGAGAGGCATCACGCGGGGCTGGAGATTGGATAGGCGCCGCGAAGGGAAGCGGTCTTCTGCGAATGGTCAACTACAAATCTAGCTATGATAAATATTGCTTGACTCTTACAACAACATACCTATGCGCCTCTAGAGAAGTTGAGGAGACCAGTCGAGCTTCCGATTTCTCATGGCTGGAGCTAGATGCTGGGGGAGGCGTCGGCGGTCTACCCCGGCGATAGGTCGCGTCGTAGATGCAGGAGAGACGTTTGCGGGTGCAGACATCGCAGGGGATTGTTCCAGAGCATTTCAGCTTCTTGGATTTGCAAAAGTCGCATGCGCGACTGACTTTGTGGCTCCTTCGCCGATTACCGGTGGTGGTGGTGGCGGCGGCGGCGGCAGATGAGGAACGACCCCCTTCCCCTTCGGGCCCTTCGGGCGACCCCTCAGGCAAACTGCGTTTCCTCCGTTCGGTAGTGGTCGATGGGAGACTAGAAGGGGAGGGCTGGGAGATGTTTGACGAAGGTGTCGGGGCCGATGCCGCCGCAGCGGCATCATCGCGGATACCAGTGTCGGTGCTCGCCGTTGTTTCCGCTGGTGTGTCGGCCATCCTCTACCATAGACAAGTATCCGACCCTCCGACGCGTTCGCCGACGGTCTCCACTGACTCAAGTCCGACCCTCCGGACTACCACGACGGTCCCAGCACCCACAACGACTCCTACACCGGGGTCGGCGCTCCGAATGTGTGCGATTCGTCTTGCTACGACATATGATGAATCCGTAAGTGGGTCATACCGGAGGCTCCTCATACCGGAACAACATCGACAGCACCTATGTTAGTGTGAGACGTAAGTCTGGAGTTGTGCACAGAAACGATCCGGAAAAGCAAAAGTTAGGGGCAGACTGATTATTAAGGGGACCAAACAACCGGCCAGCACACAGCAACAACCCGCTGCTTGCCGCACAAAGCAAGCTCGGCTGAAATGCGGGGCTAAGATGAGCAAATTGTGTGGATCGAAACCTTCATGCCCTTCCCAAGTCCGGGCTTACACTTCCCAGAGTCTCTTTTCATGTTGCCCCCTCGCTTCACATGCCGTTGCAGAAGGACAACATTTCGTGACGAGGGGGCCGTCCAATGGGGTGTGTTGCCGAGTCGTCAATACCTCTGCTAGCCACGTGTTGCACTGCTTACAATCAGATTGTGCAAGTTTGTAACTTCGTCCAGTATACAGATACTCTATGTGGTCTATGCATCGAGCTGCGAGCCGGCAAATGATCATGCCTTTGCACTATGTTCATGAAGCTTGCAAGAAACGTTTGGATAAGTTTAATGCAAAGATATTGTTAGGGATTCAAACACAACATTATTTGCACAAAGAGTCGGATTTGTGACCCGAATTGGCCCTAGTGACCCCTCAATGGAATGACAAATATGCCAACTCCCGAGCTTTGATCCCTGCTGCATAGCATTATTGACTCCAGTGCTGCAGAAACGATGCAGCTGAAAATCTTAAGAGACCTTCACGGCTAGCCAAGCACCATCATCCGAGTAGATCATGGTCTGTAATCCACGGCCCATGGCCTCCCACTATCATGCATTAGAGGTAGCTCGGCACCGATGCGGATGAGATCTAGGAGACTGTCTGTCGGACGATCGGACGGTCAGTTCATCCCCCCCGCCAAGGGCATCCCTAAATCCGGTCGTCTGTCCCGCTATCCCCCGCTCTGCTCCGGACAACCCGAGCCGGTCCCTGTCCGCTCCCCCCTGAGGCGGACGGCGGCTTCCAGAGTTGCACCGGCTCTCCAGAATTCGACCCACTGCGGCACCGTTCGCTTCGTCGCAGTTTGCGGCGCTCGTGAACTTTGCCCCTGGACCCCTGACGTCAACATGGCACTCGAGACTCTAGGCTAGCCGATACCCTAGTGAACGCGTTACTTTATATCATGCGGGCCAACCCCTTCGCTCTTTCGACTCCCACCGTACTCAAGCAACGACGACACAAACACCTTTGTTGACCCGACTCAGATAGAAAAGATAATCAACCAATCAACATGTCTCTCGAGGTTTTCCATCTTGGACTCTCTCAATCTGAGAGAATCGTATGGCTTCTAGAGGTCCGCAGCAAACAAACATCCATCACTCCTCTGCAATCGCTAATACCCTGCTAGGAGTTGCAAGTGCCGTACACATTGCATGTCTTTGAGAGAGACCCCACAACTGGCCTCGCACCCAAGGGAATCAAGGACGTTGTGAGTATCTCGGATGGTGATTGCGCCAAATTGATGGCAAACTGACCGAGTCAGAACCCCGCCGGGACCGCACCTTATTTCCGCGATAGCACTGTTTCACCGCCAATCGAGCTTGGAGAGTCTGGCGCAACCGTCGAATACATCTTAAACGTCCATGGAACCAAGGCCGGCTCCGCAGCCCCGAGACTCATTCGCACTCCCAATGACGCCGATTACGCCGCCTATCTCGAGTGGTTTCACTTCGCAAACGGCACTCTCCAGCCGACTCTCGGCCGCGCCATGACCCTCGTGTTCGCCGGCGCTTCGCAAAGTGACTTTGGCAAGCGCATGGAACTCAAGTCCCACGGAGCTCTCAAGTTGATGGACGCCCGCTTGGCCAATAACAAATGGCTTGCCGGTGAGAACTTGAGCGCCGCGGATATCATGACGGTTTTCACTCTCACTACCATGCGTGGCTTCTATCCTCTCCTGGACCTGACGAAGTACAAGAACATCTTGCGGTACCTGAAGGATGTTGCCGAACGCCCTGCATACCGAAAGGCACTGGAGAAGGGAGATAAGGGCATGGAACCTATGAACGGACCCAAGGTCAAGGCATTCAAGCAATTTGCGGCATTTGGTGCCGTTTACGAGTCCCTGGGCTACTAGAACATACAAACCGCCTATGGCAGGCACTCCAATCATGCTTCATGAAAGATTGATAACGCAAGGCAATATAGATCAATTTGAGGTGAACTCACCAACAGCATCGAAATGAATGGAAATGAACATGTCGCCACTGACCATAGCAAACAAACAGTCGTCAACATCGCAAGACCAGTGGACTGAATGGCAAAAATACACTCGATTGACCAGCCTGGGGGTCGAACCCAGAATCTCCTGATAACATGATGAATCGTAGTCAGACGCCTTGCCATTGGGCCAACCGGCCGTGATGATCGAGTGGTTGATCCACTGCGGTGGATGCTGGTTGTTGCTGTCCTCAGTTGAGTTGAAAACTTGGTCATGAGGGCGACGTGGTGGGTGACGAGTTAGTCTGATGAGTTGACTTTGGACTTGAAGGAGATTCCGATCCTCCAAGGGGTGGTCCATGTTTAATAGCCGAAGACACAGAAAAGTGTGACAAATTAGTCTTCAGTGGTTTTCTCACACAGTATGCGAGCAGTCCTTCAGGACTCAGGGAAAGCTCTTATTCAACGATGATAGCCTCCGCACTAAAAGGATAAATAGCTTGGGATTATCGCGCTCGTAATGTGTTATTGTGAACGGGGTTTAGTAGTATCTATAAGTACATGTACCTACTAGAGCTTCTTTCAGAGGGCATACTTGAACAACGGGCTCTTCTCCCCCATGCGGCTCAGCTCTTCCTCGGTATATCTCTCTCTCACTTCTTCCTCAGTCTGAAGCGCTTTCTTGTCATTGCTCCTCTTCAACAGAATTTCCAGCGCGATAGCAGCAATGATCCCAGCCGAGGCAAACCCAAAAGACGTACCATACCCAGTAGGGTACGTCGGCGCTTCTTTGTCAAGGTAAATATAGCTACCAATCAGACCACCAATGTTTCCGATACAGACTAAAAAGCCAATGCTGATTGCTCGTTTCTCCGGACTTGGTGTATTTGCCACATTCCAGGCATTGACTCCGGGCAGGATTGGATACATCCTGTTGATTCCGAGTCAGCATCGAACGATCGGATGCGGCAGCGGATAGTATTGACTTGGAGGAGGGACGAGACTTACCCGAAACAAGCCAAACACACAGCGAAATAACACAAGGCAATGTTGTCTTTGATGTCGGCACTCTTGGTGAACAGAATGCTGAAAGCAACCACGAGACAAAGCTGGGGGCCCACAATGAACGGCATGCGCCAGGAGTACCTGTCAGCAAAGACTGAAAAAACGTAGGCTGAGATGGCGCCGACCGCGTACGGCGGCATCGTCAAAAGTTGGGCGTTGGCCGAGGTATAGCCCATGTTCTTGATGATCTGCGGCATCGTGAACTTCATGGCGTAGTTCGGCACTGCATTTGACCAGCTTGCAAAGATCAAGAGATAAATCTTCCAGTCTGTCAGAACAGAAATCAGAGCGTGCTTATCAAAGTGTTTTTCTCGGAACTCGCTCGGTCGATGGACCCTCCGGGCTTCTTGTCGTAGCTCGAGGTAACGCCTTTCGTCGGCATCAAGCCAGTTCGAGAGAGAGGGAGAGTCGGCAAGGAGGAAGAGGCACATGACGCCGATGACCAATGTGGCGAGGCCTTCGAGAATGAATATCTAAGATTTGGTCAGAACGATATCGGCAACGTGCGGGAGCTTGCGGACATACCCATCTCCAGCCTTCGTATCCCCCAACACCGTCCATTTTGGCAATAGCAAAGGCTAGCAGCCCAGAGAAGCCTCCACCAGATGCGGCGGATGTGTAGAGAAGAGCTATTCGCGTCTGCGTCTCACCCGGAAGGTACCACTTGGAGATGATCAGAATAGCGCCCGGCAAGAATCCTGCTCTGCAAAACGATTAACGCCTGTTGAAGCAGGCACAGCCAGCTGGTAATGGTTGCTTACTCAAACAAGCCGAGGAATACTCTGACAGCTATCAGACCACCATAGCTCTGCACCACACCATTGCAAGTCATGACGATGCCCCAGCAAGTAACGATGCCGCCAATGTAGAGCGACGGCCTTTTGAATAAGTGCAGTACCATGTTGCTCGGGACCTCTGCCAGCACGAAAGGGATGAAAAAGACGGAAACAGCAATGTTGTACTGCACGCCCGTCATGTTGAGGCTGCCCAACAACCCTTCAATCTTGGCGTTACCAATGTTGGTCTTGTCGAGATACGCCATGAGGTAGAGCAGGATAAGCATCGGCATAAGACGGTACTATTCAAGAGAACGCGAGTTAGAGTCTATTATTGTGCCAAGTGCTGAGCGGCATGGGTATAGTAACCGTAGCATTGTACTTACGTCGACCTTGCGAACGGCCTTTTTCTTCTTGCCTTCTGGGAAGTTGCCAAGAAACGCAACATCCTCGGCGCTCAGAGTACCATTGCGTTGGTACTCTTCATGAGCAACAGAGTCTTTTTCGTGGGAGACGTGCTCGACATCGGAGCGTTCCGAAGAGACTCTGTCAACAGCCATCTCTCTTGGTTCAGATTCGAATAGGTACGCTATTCTTTTGTCAAAAGTTACCTATTCGATAAGATGATCGTCATGAAGCACTGCACGAAGCTCGAAAGTCGTCGCGGCTCGGCTTTATACTCGAAAGGCGGGAGATGGAACCATAGTGCCAAATCAGGACTACACAAGCCGGGGAAGCGGCACGAGACGTACGGCTGACAATGGATTTGCGGGGGATAAGTTCCAAAGAATCTGGGGTACTATCCTTAGCGCGGGGGGTTTCCAGCTGAGGCCTCGGAAAACTGATATTTTCTACCTTCGTACCGACAATAGCGTCAAGCCACCCACGCTTGGCGTCAGCATCACTGACCTTCCGGATTACATTCGGAAATGCCTGGATTAAGAACGTTTGACTCGTTTCCCGGCTCCTCTCAAAAGCCTCGGCAACGCTAGAAGCGAAAAGGGCCTCTGCCATGCGTTGCTGTCTCGCGTGGCGAAACCGTCGCCCTCTTCATGCTGCATTTCTCCATGCCAAAGTTCAAGAGTACGTCAGCCATGACACGTTTGCTGCATATAAATGGGATGACAATTGAACGAGCCCGGATATGTCAGGCTCCATCCTGGCACTCACATCATCCTTTCCTCGTCTCTTGGTTGTTGTCAGTGGCCTGGCCCCTCTTTTAAGGGACATGAGTCGTGGTTCCGGATCTCCTCGGACTTCAGTGCTCGGATTTTGACCGGAAAAGAAGCCAGTTAGCGCCATGCCGGTTCGGATGAGCGGGGCTGGCATTCTCACGGCAGTCTGTTCCAGGCATACACTGGTAGCCGTAACGCCTCTATGCTTTAAGGGTCATGGAAAATGTGGAAAGGATCCGAAGCTAATACACGCGACTTCGGCATTTTCTCAAGCGCGAGTTCATCCAGCCGCCAAGAGAGGACAATTGTGAGGCTCTCGTCATACTTCATTCTTGTTATAAAAACAGCCAACGCAGGACGTATCCCACGACTCATTTTCACAGCAGCCGCAGCAAACACTAGACTGAAGCCCAACAACTCTAAAACAACTCTCAAATACTTCCAAATTACAAGACCCCACCAACTTCACTAAATCATGGGTTCCAACGCCGGTCTCGACCTTCGCGGTCTCACTCCCGCCCCCGTCACCCCCTTCAACAAGGACGGCAGCGTAGACTACGACGCCATCCACCGTCTCGGCTCATGGCTTGGTAGCATCTCCGGCGTCAAGGGTCTCGTCGTCCTCGGCCACGCCGGCGAGGGCACCTTCTTGACACAGGACGAACAACTCGCAGTCATCAAGGCCTTTGTCAAGTCCGTCGATAACCGCATCCCCATTATTGCCGGCATCACGGGAGAAGGCACCGAAGTAGCCGCTCTCGAGGCCAAGCGCGCCCGGGAAGCCGGCGCCTCGGCCGGTCTGTTATACCCTTCGCACGGCTGGCTCCGATTCGGCTACCAGCCCGGCGCTCCGCAGGACCGGTACAAGCGAGTCTTTGAGGTCAGCGGTCTGCCGCTTATCCTGTTCCAATACCCGGACGTCACAAAGGCGACTTATAACCTGCAGACTCTGCTCGATATTTCAGCGCAACCTGGTGTCTTTGCGATGAAGAACGGCGTACGAAACATGAGACGGTGGGATACTGAGATCCCCTTCATCCGAAAGGAGCGGCCCGATCTCCAGATTCTGACCTGCCACGACGAATATCTTTTGCACACCGCCTTTGACGTTGATGGATTCCTGGTTGGCTACGGAAACATTGCGCCTGAGGCTCTGATCGAGTTGATTAAGGCTGGCAAGGCAAAGGATTATCCCAGGGCGAGGGAGATCCACGACAAGTTGCTGCCGGTGACCAAGGCCGTGTATCATCGGGGATCGCACATGGAGGGTACTGTGGCGCTGAAGCACGCGTTGGTTGCGAGGGGAATCTTGGAGCATGCGACTGTCAGGTCACCTTTGTTGCCTTTGGAGGATGGAGCCGAGAACGAAATCTTGGCTGCTGTGTCAGCGGCTTCGCTTTCGCGGGTGAAATAGATGATGGATTCTGTGCAGTGGTGAGAGAAATTGGTATTGGTCAGAGAAACTCCAAAGTCTGTCCATGTACGTACTTATGTATGGTAGAAACCGAGCAGTTATGTATTGACAAGTATACGAGACTATGACAACTTACTTGCGTAGAATTCAACTGAGTCTCCTCTGACAGTGCAGCCTTTGAACTGACTTCAGCGAGTACATGTACGCATTACATTTTCAGGCCTCATTGTCACCAGAAGTTTATCCCCATGTAGACGGAACCACGAATGCCCACGCATTTCAGTCTCAGAAAACCAATCATCGGAGCTGGAGAGACACAGCCCGCGTTTTGGAAGCAGCCACACAGCTAAGGCAACTGGCGTGATCAGCCCGCTTTAAGCTGGCTTCCAGACCGGAATGGCTCGAGACATCTTCTTGATCGATGACACACCTCATTCCAAAAAGCCACTAATATCATCAATGAGAACATCCCCCGGAGCAATGCTCGGCAGTCAAGACAGGCTATCTGCCCACACAGCTGTCGATTCATCAATCACGGCCCCCAACCCTGATCGACTTGGGGCAAAACGGTTGGAAACTGATGTGGAGGCATCTGTTGCTCACAATGAGCCTATCAGCTGAGTTCAATCGCATACCGCCAAAGCGGTCGTCTTGAAGATAATGGGGACCCAAGTCCAGGCTGTGGCGAAAGCCTACTGGCCAGGAACGGCCGACATGCCTCTTTATGGCTCTTACTAGCACAAGCCAAGCACATGTCTGGACCCCGAATACCTCCCCCCTATCCGTGATCCCCTTTGACCAAACGGCGGGCACTCTTTCAAGACATTTGCATCTTCAACTTCTCTTCAACAGTAAGCTGCACTCTCAAGACACTGACGTCTTTTCATGCCTTTCACTAGTGTATCCCTCTATGGAAACCTATGTCTACTTTCCAGGCTTCTTTCCTTGCATCGCTTCGGACGCTACCAGAAAGACCCAGATAAACCCAGAATCCCAGGGCTGGGCTCGCGTCGTCGACGCTTTACAGAACTTTCTAGCAATCTACATAGTAACCTTCCACCCGTTGGTAAAGTTTCCCGGCCCGGAGCTAGCCGGCGCGATATACTGGTGTGGGGTCTGGTTCGACGTGGTACGCTGGGGAAAACGCATGGGATCAAACGGGATCAAACGCCTCCACGAAATGTAGTGAATGCTCCGCTGCTGTACGCCTTTCAAGCTGACCCCTGCTGATACCATGTGATGTATGCTAGGCCCCATCATCCGGGCTAATCTGGATAAAGTTGACTGCCTGCCTCGGAATCTGCGGATGTCATTGACGCAAATGGAAGCAAGAAGCGTAGCCAGTTAAAAATGACTCCAGAGGGGTTTGCTGCAGACTACATGTCACTTGTCCTATTCCAAATCTCCTCCCTCACTTTCAAGGTGTACTGACATGCATTGTGCAGCTTTAAAAACGTTGGTGACCATCCCGTATCACCCGGTTCCCTCCTGTCAGCTAGCTCAGTTGTAAGGGAGGAATTGGCACAGTTGACGACACCTATCATCGCCTTCGTAGAGCGGTAGCCAGATTAGAAGCTCAACTTCAAGGTTGAGACACTTTCCATGGACGACGTGGTTGATGTAGGCTATTCCAGTAAGGGTCCTCTGGATCGCATGATTGTATGATAAGAGTTGAAGACATATAGGCCGTTCATCAGAAAACTATGGTCGAATATGGGAGAACCTGCTGAGCAGTCCAAGGTGAGCGATTTCGTCTGAAGTATGTATGCACATTGCGATTGTTGACCAGGGCAGGTCAAATGCCGGAGATGTTCAGACGGACCAAATCAGCATACGAGGCTGGCATCAAACGTAATCGGCCGATAGTGATGCACTCAATTTCGTAATCAGATCTAACCCCCCGAATTAGAACACGATGAAGCGGCTGACTGGCGAAGCAACCATGATGCTTGTCGCCGGCATCGAGACGACAGCTTCGGCACTCAGAGTTCGCAGTTACCGCCTGCTACGCAATTCAGACGCCGTTACAAAAAGATTAGAGCCAAGCTTCTCTCTCTCCGTTACCACGGACCCGAAGCATGTTCCAAACTGGGCCACTCTGGAGAAGCTGCGTTACTTTTAGGGCCTCAGTCATGGAGGCGCTGCGGTTCAGTCATGGTTCCCCGTCGAGATTGCCACGGATCTCACCAGACACCAGAAGAGGACTTGGTTAATGAAGTGACGTGGACAACACCACGCGGGGGGCAAAGTATGCCGCCGCTGGCCAGGCTCCCTATGTCAACACTCGGCCAAAAAACCACCCAACAAGACATCAACGTCCTAAGGACATAAAGAGAAAGCTATAATAATTTTTCTTGAATTTTGGAAGTTAAATCCATCATCTCTGCTTGATGTGAAAATGTCATACGCGTACCGGGCTCAGACGCGTACCGGACTCATAAAAACGGGTGGTGTTTTTTAACCCCTGCGTGACTGCCTGGGCGTCAGCGCCGGTGGAGGTGATGCAAGATATTCTGTGGGGTTACGCGAGTGGAATGTCGGCGTGGATCATGCAGCACGATGAGAGGGTCTTCCCCGAGTCCATCAAGTTTATTCCTAAACGATGACTTTACACTACACTACGAGAATGGATAGAGAAGGCGGGGCTTGTAAGGGTACTTTTTGACGTTTCCCAGAGGAAGCCAGCAATGTTCGGGTATGCAGTGAGTGTTAGACGTCATTCAACGTTCTCTTTGCGCAAATTCTGATTCCCCCATGATCCGATGGTCAAAAGTTTCTGAGCATCCAGCTGACCAATGCAGGCTGGCATAATGTGAGCTTCACATGGCGCGTATCCCGTCACAATTGAGACTTTCCCAGAGTCGAGACGATGGACGCTGATGTAGGGTAGAGGATCCATGTAATTTATAACCTTGCCGCTGCATTGCCGAAAAAGGCAGCAAGGGGATCCATCTGGAGGTGGTGCGAATGTTTGCGCAGATGGCGCCATGGGGTCATAGCTCCCCGGATAAGCTTTAATTAGCAATCAAATGCGAGAAAGTACATTTCAACGAGGTCCAATGGTGAAGGCGAACTGCCGGCGGCATGAAAGCATCATCCAGGCGTGAGAGCGACATTAAATTCCGTCAATTACCGTCGGTGGTTACATTGTGGTCAACTATGCTTTGTGAAAACGGTGCTTCACTTCTGCTGGGTATATATACGAGAAAACCGTTGATGGAGCGTGCTATGATGGTAATCGTGAGGCACGCCAAACTGGTAGATGAGTTCTTCAGGTAAGAGAGAAAGAGAGAGAGATGTCGTGTCAGTGTGTGTGAGAGAGAGAGAGAGAGAGGAAGGCTGAGAATGAGAGTGAGACGGCCCAGATATCAGTGCGGCGCTTAGCGCCACACTGTGACCCTATTCGATTTAGGGCGCCCCACTCGGTCCCGAGCGCCGCGCCTAACGGGACCGAGGCCAGGGCCACCTGAACTGAAAATACGGCAAACGGACTCTTTCTTTGCCGACACCACCAATACTGCCAATACAAGCCATTAATGATGATGGCTTTACGGTGTACGGAATACGGACACTGGATAAGGTAGACACCACTTGACCTTGGAAGGCTTAGGTAAGACGACGCGCGCGCGCGAGGATTACCAATGCGCCGCCCAAACCCCCCCCCTTTGACTACGGCAATGCCCCGGGAGTCTACGGATACCTCAGAGATACCGCCAAAACGGAAACCAACTTCCAAAGCCCCCATTAATGATCTTCCACTCTAATGTTTCTGCTGGCAAGGGGGTCTAGGCCCGATGCAACTTTTGGCAAGCAACGATGGGCAAAGGCTATTCATTGGGTCGCGACCTGTTGCTTCCGGCGCGCGGCATCTTGAATGGCACAGTACAGCAACAAAGAGCCATGGCTCATGGGGGCCATAGTGCAGCCACTGAGCGCGCCATCTGGGCGGCCTCGCCAGCTTCTCGCGGGACTGCGCGCGCAAGCACTCAGGCCATGTTGAAACTAGAAAGAGGCATATGATCTCGCAGAAAAAAAAAAGAAGGAAAAAAGAGACGGAAAAAAAGACAGCATCTCCAGGCCCCATTCACCTTGAAAGCGCGCGTTTAAGCCTAAATCTTTTTCAAAATTAGTCATAATGAAAAACTAATATCATTTAATTTACCTCTGACTAATGCTGTAGCACCCGCCGTTGCCTTGACTCGGCCTGGCCATTCGAACCCATGCCGCATCAGATCCCTACCTCTACCATGTTGGTTGGGGGTTGGTGCAATGGTGCTGGACGCGCTTCGGACATTGTTTAACGGTACATCTGTTGTACGGCTTACGGATACGGATACTCTCAGGTCCTCCTCTGCTTGTATCCGTAGCATCGAATCCCAGTCTTCCACCACGAACGACCCGCTCCATGCGTCTGATTACAATCCCAAGAAGACCCTAGACTCTAGAGGAAGAACAAGGAGAAGGAGAAAAAAAAAAAAAAAAAGTAAACCAAGCTTTACCAAGCCTCATCTCGCTTGTCACACGCAAGCTCAAGCTGAATAATCCGAGCGCCGCTCCGTCTCGTCTGAAACATTGGATTGGTTCTCGCTGGTCCCATCCCGCGCGAGAGGACAGGAAAAAAGACCGAGCCGCAGCACGACTATGCGCGCGTGCAGGCGTGGTACCTGTCCGTACATCACATCTTTTGGGAATGGGAGGGATTCGGCCGACGCCCAGGGCCTCAGCTACTACTACTACTCCTAAAAAAAATAAAAAAAAAAGTCCCCGATTTTTGGTTTTACCTTTGAGTCGATAAAATCATTCATTAACCTCCTCGCTCCCACCCATCCTTCATACCCTGCGCCTCCCATCCTCTATTCCATTGTACACTTCTTTGTCCAAGCAACCGTACCTCGTTCGGTACTCTTCCTCGGTGTCCACTGCCGCACTCCCCCACGGCTTTCCCCTACCGTCAAATCTCAACCTCCGGCCCCTAAATACCGACGAACTTGCTCGCCTTTCTCCCTTGCTTTGGGAAATTAACCTGACTTACTTACGTTACAAAGTCATCGCTGCCAACAAATTTTCTCTCTAACAACCTTTCAACCTCTCAATTGCTTTCAAGTAACAATCGCACAAAATGGTTAAGCAGGTTGTGATTCTGGGCGCAGGCTACGCTGGCATCGGCGTCGCCCACAAGCTGCTCAAGTACACCCAGCCCAAGGTCAAGGATCTCAAGGTCATCCTCGTCTCCCCCTCGACTCACCTCTACTGGAACCTCGCCGCCGTCCGCGGCCTCATCCCCGGCGAGTTCTCCGACGACACTCTCTTCCACAAGATCAAGCCCGGCTTCGAAAAGTACCCCCGCGATGCCTTCGAGTTCGTCCAGGGCAAGGCCACCACTTTCGACCCCACCACCAACACCGTTCAAGTTGAGACCAAGGAGGGTCTGAGGTCGCTGGAATACGCCCAGCTCATCATCGCCACCGGCTCTTCCCTCGCCAGCGGCGTTCCCTTCAAGACTGTCGGCACCCACGAGGAGACCCTCACCGCATGGCACAACCTCCAGTCCGAGGTCAAGGCCGCCAAGTCCATCGTCATCTCCGGCGCCGGCACCACCGGTGTCGAGACTGCCGGTGAGCTCGGCCACGCCTACGGCTCCACCAAGCAAATCACCCTCATCGTGGGCGGCGATGCGCCGCTCCCCGGCCTCCTGCCCCAGCTCGGCAAGGCCGCCGCCAAGAGCCTCCAGCAGCTCAAGGTGAAGCTCGTCACCAACGCCCGCGTCACCGAGGCCGACACCTCTGGCGCCTCCAAGACCATCAAGCTGTCCAACGGCGAGACTCTCACCGCGGATCTCTACCTGCCCCTGTTCGGCGTCCGCCCCAACTCCTCCTTCATCCCCGAGCATCTCCTCGACGCCCAGGGCAACCTGAAGCTCAAGCACGACCTCCGCGTCGAGGGTCTCACCAACGTCTGGGGCGTCGGCGACGTCGGCAACCTCGAGACGAAGCAGCTCATGCGCGCCGAGGGTCAGGCCTTGCACCTGAGCGACAACCTCGACGCCGTCCTCACCGGTAACGAGACCAAGGTCAAGGACCTCAAGCTCACACTCAAGCCGCAGGTCTTTGTCACGATTGGCAAGAAGAAGGGCACTGGCCAGTTCAACACGATGAAGCTGCCTGGCTTCATCGTCAGCGCCGCCAAGGCCAAGACCTTCTTCTCCGAGAAGGCTCCTGGTCTGGTCCAGGGCAAGAACATGGCCAGGGCGTCGATTTGAGCAAATCGTAACATGATAGAACGATGGATGACGGAGGAGGAGATTGGTAATTGGCTTGCTTCAGCTTTGATATCCCGGATTGCGAACCGTCGTTGCATAACTTATCAGTGTGTGAGCACACGGAACTTTTAATCATTGGACATATACCCTTAATAAAGAGTCAAAATTGCGCATAACTGTCATGTTTCTAAACTCCGTGTGCTGATTCTTGGACTGGTCTCTTATCCAATTCTGGCCCAAGCGACTGAGCGCCTTACCACCGTCCGTACAAGGCCGGTGTCCAGCAAAGTGCCTCTTCTACGATCTTCCTCATGTTCTTCTCCATGTTCATACCAACGGCATCGTCTCCACGAGCCCAGACTCCCATCTCGTGACTCTTTTCATTCAGCTTGAAGTCGGATCCATCTCCTTCAACAGTGACGACATAGTTTAGCTGGACGGCCGGACGCTTGATAATCTGATCGTGCTCTGCCATATTCCCTTCTATCACATCCAGTCCTGTGGCACCCTTCAATGCCTCCTGCCGGATGTCCAAGAGTGGTGGAAGAGGATGTTGGATATCAATCACCTCAAGCGAGGTCAACTCAGCGACCATTCGGATGATGGCGTCTCGGATCGTGGCGTCGTCATCCTCCATCTTGCCTCCAGGGATCTCATAGAAGTTATAGTGACCTTGGCCGGGGCTGCGCTTGATGATCAAAGTCTCATCTCCACGGGGTCCCGGGCGCACGATGGCGGCGCCGACTCTGATCTTTGGAATGCAAATGTGAGCTGGAAAGTCCAGCCGTGATAACATGGCATCACGAGAAATCTCAAGAAAATCCATGGCGGGGGTGGTCAAAGCGGGGAAAGTGAATAGTAAAATGTCCGAGTACAGTCTTGAGTACGAGTGCAGTGTGCTTGACTGCTTGGTGAGAATGAAAGTCGGCTGAGAACTGGATGTCAGATAAAGATCCCCGCAGGACTTGAAGAACTTCTTGAACCACGACTGCTTGCTTAATATAACTTGCCTGCCTACCTACCTGTCATTTTGAGTCAGTATTGCAGAGACTGTTGCCAGGATTGGCGAAGAATCCCGCAGCATCTTCACACTTGAAGTGATACATGATCAATCTAAAGTCTGAAAAGGTCCGCAGTTTCAGAACTTAAGGAGGGTAGCCTGGGAACGTGGTGGCAGCGTGGCCATCAAACCATCCCAGTATCCGTCAAAAGTAACAGGAGATTATGATATATGAGAAAACAAACACAGTATTGACCAGTCCTTTGTTCTATTACTGGGTGCATGTAAGTCACATGTAGGCTGCCAAAACTCCTTCTTCCGTCCCCTGGACACTTCGACGAAGCCAATTCTGGACTGTCATAGAGCCTTCTGATCAGCCATCATGCCTCAGATGAACGAGGTTGAGTCCAGACTGGGAGGGCCTCCAGTATGTAAAAGCTCAAGGCTAGGTAGCTAAGGGTCTTTCGACAACGCTTTTATCTTGTATCGTCTAAGCTCTTTGTTGAATTGCAGCCTCGAGATCAGTGATCGTAGTTCTAATATTTTTAGTAAATCATACATGATGTGGCTTGACGGGAGCTTTAGTTAGAAGCTGTGTGAGAACATCCTTGATGACAGTTTTCATAAGAGTTTCAAGGAAAGTTATGAGGGCGTTTAGTTCAAAGTTAACGTCTTACGCATACCATATATGCATACTATATATGCATGCCCTGTACACCGCCGTGATCTGCAGCGCCGGTTGAGTGAAGAGCATCCTGAAGGGCCTGAGAAGGGTCTTTCGTAACTTCTGTCCGAAGGTCCTGTCTGGATAGTCGGACTCTGCATAAGGGTTGGTGTTACCGGTTGTCTCGCGTAGTTTCTTGGCCGTCACTGCTAGAACCTTTGGTGCATGTCTCCAAGAGGAAGAGGAAGGCGAGGATTTGATCGACCGCATTAGGTATGGAGATGTTCTAGAGGATTCATCGCCATTAGAGGTACTGTGTCAATTATCTAGTTGCTTAAAAATCTTTTTAATATGTTTGATTCAAAGAGAATACTTGCGGTACTGGCTGAGAGGCTCAACTACAGCTCCGAGAAAAGGAGCCGCTCTCTAATAACATTCTTTCAAGACAGTATGGACTCTCTTCCAACGTCCCAGGGCATTAGAGTTCTTGTTTGGCCTTCGGACTTCCAGGGAAGCTCACAACCAGACTTCGCTGTCATTCGCAATATTTCCCTTGTCGACGTAGGCAAGGGATTCACTCGCGCCCTTGTATCAGCGGCCGGCGGAACGCTCCATCCAGTCACCGTCATCGGCCAAGAGGTCATCCCGATTGCATTGATAATCTCAGGATGTCAAAGACTGCCGCCATCGAAATGGCGGCTGTTGCTGGACTGAGCCTTATCCTTACCCACCTTCGCGACCCGGGCCGCACCTCGAACTTTGAGATTGGCGAGCTCCTTGCCACTACTTTGAGCGCTGGCGAGAAGCTGATCGCCGTCGGATACGGTGATTCTGACACCTGCGATGGCGTCGCCAGAATGCTGCAGACGCTTGGCGCTCAGCTTGTAGATGAGGATGGACATTCACTTCCTATCGCCGCAGGAGGCAAATCCCTTCTTCGTCTGAGAAACATTGATCTTGGCAGTATCAACAAGCGCGTCAAGGATGTCACCATCAATGTTGCTGTCAACTGGTACAACATGTTGCCCGGCTCCGATGGGGTTGCCAGAGTCTTTGCTGTGCAAAGTGCGCCAGTGCTCTGCAGATGGAGCGGCTTTCTGCAGCGATAGAAGTCCTCGTCTTTGTGGCTGGCTGCTTTTTCTGCGACGATAGCGCATGCCTCTCCCCTGGTGGAGGGGCTTCTGGAGGATTGGGCACCGGTTTGCGGCTGGTCGGCGCCAAGCTACGGCAAAGTTATGAGGTGAAGGCGGATCCTGTCGGTTTCAACATGGGTTTAGAAGTGCTTCTGATCGATTGTTTTTAAGAAACGAAGAGTCAAGAACACTGTAACGTCTCTTTGTCCTTGACTCCAAATGAATACCTTTTAATCTATTTTTGCGATATCGTTGTGCCTTCTAATGGACCATCTTAATGCGTCCCTCTAGAACAGGTGCAATTACACGAGTCCAGTCGACAGTGAACTCTCCCTCATGCAGAGGATCACACACCTCAGCCTTGACGCCCGCCTTGCTAGCCCATCTGGCGAAGAACTTACGCATAATGAGCATCTCCATATCAATCTGCGCGACACGATCCACTTCATCTTCAGAGTCAACCTCGTCGTCCGAATCATCCTTGGGAGGCTTTGTGTTCAGTGCGTGTCGTTTGACCATCCACTCAGCCCACGACTTGGACGCGACCTTTGGCTTAGGGTCCGAGGTGCCCGTCTCCGCCGGCGTCTCCCACAACTTCCGTTGCTCGACTGGGCTGTGGCACTTTTCGGCGACTCTGACCCAATGCTCGCTGAGGTTTTTCCACTGACCGACTGTGCGAAGGCTCATAAAATACTGGCGCAGCATGGCGGAGATGAGGATGCCGTTCTCTTCGCAGACAATCTCCTCAGCGGTACCGCCCTCGGGTTCGACAAGCAGACTGGTAAATCCATCTAACATGGTCAGCTGATGATCCGATTCGAGTGGGCTCCAAGCTTACCCTTTCCTCTACCCATGTAGCCTCGAGTCGCGAGGGTGTACTTCTTTTCCGGTTCTATCGGCCCACCTCCGAGAGTGGCTGCTACAATACGGGAACCGGCCGGCTTGCTCGGGTCAAAGGTGTACTCGATGTTGGATACTTGAGGGAATCGACCTAACCCGTTAGTCAGCATGCGACGAGGCCTTCAAGATTGTCATGCAGCCGACCTTCTTGTGCCGGGTACATCGAAACGCCGTTTTCCAAGGCATCCCAAAGCTGCTGGCCAGTCACTCTGATGAAGATGACGGGGTCCTCAAACGGGAAGCAATTGGTGATATCCCTGACCCTGATCGCGCCGGGAGGATAGATCTGGTCGCCGCGAATTGTGCCGGCCGCCATTATAGCACAGTCAGCGTTATGATAATGCCTCATCACGTCGCATACGAAGTTCCCCATGTTGCTCTCTTTCATCCGGACGGTGCTGAACCTTGCATCCAAAGGCGAGGCTGTCCAGCCTACGGACTTGGCCAAGCTGTGTTTCAGCTTGGAAGTCAACTCTTCGGTGAGCTTTAGCGTCTCTTGATCTTCCGCGATAGAGGAAACGATGTCGCGCTGCAGAATGTCAAAGTCCCACTTTCCGGAACCATCTTGCTTCTTCCGGACCTCAATGTAGCTCAATTGTTTAAAGTCAGAGCCGGACCGAAGTACGTGGGTGCCATTCACGAAACTGTGAGCGTAGTAATGGTCGTGTCCGCCGAGGATTATGTCAATGAGACCGTCGGTCTTCTCGGCGAGCTTGTTGTCGTTTGGCTCACGCTGATGGCTGAGACAGATGATGATGTCGGCACCCTGGGCCCGGAGCTGTGGCACTAATTCCTTGGCTGTTTCGCTGGCCGACTTGTAGATAATGTTTGGCGGCAAGCTGTTGATCGTCTCTAGCCATTCTCTTTCGCCGAGGCCAAGGAGGCCAATCTTGATTCCATTGGATGATGTGATCATGTGCGTGTGCTTGGCGTTTCCGAGGGGGACATTTTCGCCCAAAGCCGGGTCTAGGACGTTGGCGAGGAGCCAGGGGAAGTTGCACTTGGCGGTCAAGTGCTCGAACTGCTTGACTCCGAAGTCGAAGTCATGGTTCTACGACGAACATGTCAAATCCCAGAAAGCACCAGAATCGTCGGCGACCCACTTACACCAACGCAAGTGCAGTCAACGCCGATCTTGTTGAGAATCGGCACCATGTGCTCACCTGGAGCGCATCAGCAAAAGTGAGGACAGACAAGTGGCACGTGATGGAAATAGGTGATACCTTTTGTGACAGAACTTTCGAGGCTGGGGTTGAAAACATCGCCAGAAAATAGAGTCACTAGCCCAGGCTGGCCTTGGTAACGTTCGTGGCCTCGGTACTCGTTGACGGCAGTGATGAATCGAGCAATACCGCCCACCGGCTCAGCGCTCGCCTGCTCCAAATGATAGACATCATTGAGGTGGAGAAGACGCAGGGCAACCGGCGCGTCAGAGCCCGAGCTGAAAGTGACGACGGGCTCATCGGGCGCTGGGGTGTTTTTGGGCATGGTAGGGGAGAAGAAGGGAGGGAGCAGAAGTGGTCTAGGAATAGCAATGCGGTTGGGACGGATAGGGAAGTTGATGTTGAAGTGCAACCCAAAACAGCGTTGCTCTGAGCTGAACTGAGCTACCTAAGGTACCCAAGGTAAGGTAAGGTGAGGAAAGGTTATGTTTGGGGTGATAGGGAGGTGCCGTGCCGTGCCGTCCGTCGTCCGTCGTCCGTACGGTAGGTGCGGTGAGCTGAGCTCTGCGGGGACAGGCGCGGGGCAGGGGCAGTGAATTGAACCGTGATTGATTGGTGCACTGGCGACAGGGACGCAGGAGCCAACCAAAAGGGGAGATTAACAACGGAGGGGACAGGCACGTGACAGGAAGCTGCACCACGGTGGACCCATCTGATTCTATTTTGAGCACGGACTCATCCGATGACGATAAGTTTCCTGCTAATTAAGGTATACCATACCTTAAGGTACCTTACCTTACCTCAAGCTTTGCCCCACCGCGGGGCAGCAGCTGCCTCGACAACTTTTTGCAGAGATTCACCTTTTCGCCAGCAAGGCACCTTTGGCAGGTAAGGTTACTTAATACCTAAGGTAGGGTATTTTGATTATTATGAAATGGTGACTTCAAACCAATTGTGATATTGTCCTTTCAATATACTGCCGTATTCGAGAGAACAAGCAAGAGAATTATCGTAGATAGCTTGTTGTACTATCAAAATATCCGGCCATTCATTCTCTCAAAAAATCAAGCCACTTCGCCTCTGTTGAATCGATCCACACCCATCCTATGAAGCTCGTAAAACTTGTTCTCCCTTCATATCAGATCCTCTGGCTCTCCAATCTCCAGAGCCCCTCCATTGCTAAGCACGGCGAATTTGTCCTACCAAACGATAAGGTATATATATTCAAGCCGGTGTATCGCAGCCACCACTATACAGCCAACAAATTTATTCTAAACAATATTCCATAAAACAGATTCGGTTACGGAATCTACACTTTGATACATTAATACACTGGCAAAATTACGAGATTCTTACACAGCAGGAGCTTGCCTACGCCTTGCCTTATTTAGTACTAAAATCTTGAACTTCTGCACTATGACTTGAGCTATATGGAAAAGCTGTCTATGCCTTGACGGCCACGTAGCAGGGTCCATATAATTGTTCAACCCAGCCTGTCTCGAATAAGATTCCAAGCTCATTCTTTTCCAAAGCGCTGGCGATCTGTTCATTGTTCAAAAATAGGTCGATATTGAATCGAATAGTTCCGGGCACTTGAAAGAGGGTTTAAAAGACGATATTGATTCGGGACCAAAAGTTATCCTCCATGAATCTTGCAATGTCCATACCGTCTAGTTGTATGCCTCCTGTCACGTATAAAATCTACACCAGGCTTGGAATGGGGGGTGTCTTGCCACAGCCTGACGGGCCATTTATGGCAACGTGCTGAGCATCTTTGAAGTTGAGAGTAACGCTTTGAGAATCGCTTCCGTACCTACCTAGACTGCCAGCTGGTTACAGTCCTCAAAGAAGGCAAAGCGACTTGAAAAGTGAGGAACACAGGACTTGCCTGAACGGTACAGGAATATTGAAGAACCACAAAGCCCTAGAGGAAGACTACTCTGACTGTATGGAGATATTCTCAACGCTTTTCTCCGTTTTCATGTCTAACAAAAAATGTTTAACCTTAATATCCGCACGAATACTGTAGTTGAGTTCAGTCCTGGTCTCAATGAGACGAGCCAAAACCTTATTAAAGCTAGTCAATATGACAAGGCTTACACCAACGCTGCTCCCACCGGATATATCGTGCCATGCCACCACTATGGACACCAAAGATAACGGCAATGGTAGCTACAAGGAGAGTCAAGACGGAGTTCAACAATAAATATATGCAGCTCTACACGTATCTTGGTCGTCCTAAGGAAGAGACTTACCAATTTGCCGCACAGCTTGGATTGAATAGAGGAGGGGAATAATATGTCGGTTACAGAGGGTAGCAAGTTCTCCTGGCGTCAGAAGGAGAAAAAGGGTAGAGGGGAAACACGCAAAGAACACATCCTCAAAGAACAAGGTAAAATCAAATGAACGACATTCTCGGTCTACTCGAGCCCAAATACTGGTCGCTAATCGTTGATCTTCAGGACTTACTCAACGACTCAGTGCCGAGAAAGACGGCTAAAATATTGCGAGAATCGGAGTAAAGTATAAATAATCTTCCAGGTGAAGCAAACGATATCAAAGTCACATTCGCGATGAAATCAAGTTCCGTAGAGTGCGCTTGTTCAAGGGGCTTGAAAAGTAGACCATAAGATGAGACGCGCGCGTCTTGATGCCGATGCCGGCTTGATGTTGGCTGCGCAGATATTGACGCATTGCCTGCTGCCTCATTTGACAACAAGAGATTTCGATATCTCAGGCTACCAAATGCGCGCCAAGCTTCTTCCCGTCATGTAAATTTGACGGCGTTGGTCGGCCAATGGTAGATAGTCCTGGAAATTGCAATTTGCTCCTGCTCGTAGCTCGATTGATGTAGACACTCGTAGTGGCTTACCTGGTCCTTGGGACTATTGGACTAAGGAGCAATGAAGTCATCGCCAATGCGTGGTTGGAACATATTCCAATTGAGAAAATACCATTGAAGTTCAATTTCGTTAGCGAAAAGCGAAGTCAAGTAATTTTCCTCACACCTTCTACAAACTGTGCATCGAAAATATCAAGGTTTTTGGTCGAGGTTGGATGGCAAACTTGACTAACACGCCAATCAGCAAGCAGTCCGCACTGAACGCGCAAAACCCACGTGAGGCTACAATGGCTTTTGGACTGAGGGAGCTGAAGGGACATTCAAATGGGACTTTCTTTTCGTAAGCAAATTACATCCCAGAGGCACCTAGGGGCTTTGTAGGGGACAAGGAAATGTTGAACTGTTACCTAGCAATCGCCGCTGGAGCCCAGAACTAGTTTGCATCTTGTTAGTCTGGTAAAATGCCAGTGAAATTTCCGGGCCTAAAGCTCGAACCCGTCTCACTTTGGGTAACATCATGAAACGTTGCAAACTTCAAGTTTTGAAGTCATGCTTAAGCTACTTTGAGTCGCTTGGGCGTAGGTTTACATCTTGTGACAACGTTGCATACAAGATGAAGGCTTGACGTTTATGAGCGCTCGCTCAGTAATTAGTGTAACGCCAATTGTAGCTGTGCGTATGGCATGCAGTTTAACTTGTTTTGGCAGCCTTGGACCGTCACACAGAATCATTCAGCTGCGGAGTAATTAATGCTCAGGTGTGCACTCCTAAGGAGCTGAGGTATCCCTGGATCTTCATCTAGGCACCACACTACTGATCAAATTGGTTGATGATAGCTCTGTCTCTTACGTCATAATTAAGGTTTCCGTGTGCCCAGCTGAAGGAATCAATGTGGCATGGCAGGTGGATACTGCGAAGCGGGAGATTTATCTCCCCGTATGACCCAGTAGATTAGCTTGTTCCCAGAGCAGGTCACAGGTGCGGCAGGGTCCTGGGCGGATGGAAGAACTGACTTAGAAGGCTGTCTCAAAAACTGTGTCTCATAAAGCTAAGTTCGCTTCTGCAGCTGAGTGACAGATGACGCCATTCTGTAGGGCTCTGGATCATCATGATCTTCAAGGGAACCTGAGGCGTGTTCCTTATGTGCGTGCATTTGTGTCGCAACAGAGTACATACGTGTATGATTGAAACGAATCAGCGAATGTTACACGTCTTCACCTCTCACGTTCAGCACCTTTATCGCTGAGGCACCGATCATCTGTTCTAGAGTCTTTCCATCACTGCCAGGAAGCGATATTCGTACTCATGATGATGACAGTCGACGGGTGTTGGCCTATCTTTCCGGGCCAGATTTGCGTGCTTCCCACTGAAATTCACTTTAGCCTGCTGATATCTGGCCCTATTCTTGTTTCCGCTCCATGGTCATAGGCTAGTGCGAGCCTAGTCCCGGCCGCTAACCTAGTCCTAAGGACCATCCCGCTGTACCCCTGTAAGGAAACGACAGTAGTGGCTGATCATCTGAAACTAAGTGTTGAAGGCTTGTGTGAACCCCGTACTACATGCCACCACACGGTTCAGAGATTTCACAAGAAACACATCTCGATGTGATGAGCAGGATTTATGAATCCAACTCACCACCGTGAGCCCTAATGACGAGTGCCAAGGTTCAAGATCAGCTCGATTTACTTGGATGGCGCTTTCAGCTGCGGCTGACTCACTGACTTTGTATGCCGCATACACGAAGACTCGGCCAAACTCATGTAAGAGAAGTAGGTGTTGTGAAATGAAGAAGTTTGGTGCCAGCAAGCAACTAGGTATATAAACCCGTAGTTCTACCATGACCTGAGAGAAATGGAAGTTTGACATCGCCATAACGCGCTTTCAATAACCCCTGCGAACAAACAAAACAAATCATCATCATGAGATATCAATCATTGCTCACCGCGTCGATTTCAGTGCAAATTTCACTGGCGGCTCTGAATGAACCGTGCTACGGCTCCGGAGGTAGAGCCGGTAGGAGAATTTCACCCTTGTTTCGATAAAAGAAGGATTGCTGACATACTCACGAGGTGTCTGCGTAACCACAAGCTCTTGCTCGTCAAATGGAGGTACAACTATAGACGGCGCTTGTCCTGCAGACGCTTCCAACATCAAATGTTGCACCAAGGCATCCTGCGGAGGCGGGGGCAATTGTCGCTGGACAAGCGACTGCGCAGGAACATCTGCTTCCAACCAGTGCCCAGGACCGAGTGGCTTCAAATGCTGCTCCTCCACTGCCACCGGCTTCGGCGGCTACAGCTCTCCATCGGTCCCATCCGTTGGGGCCTGTAAGCAGGTCGCAGTCAACGGCGCAAAGAAGATCATCGCAGCATTTCCCGGGCGAGTCAGACAAGTCTACTGCACTCGTGACTGCACTTGCCCTGGTGACTCGGATCACTGCTGCGGCAAGGCGACGGATATGATGTGCTCTGATGCTGGTGGTGTGAGTGGATTCCATCGCTTTGATTGTGTGCTTCGGATTACGTGGCTCACTTCTATGCAGGTCCCCACTGTCTCTGGCAAGGAGATTGCTGAGTGGGTTATGAATAATCGAGGGACACTGAACCTCAAGTACGTGATTTGGGGCCAGAAAATCTGGAATCCATCTCAAGATTCTGTAAAGTCATGGTCAGGCTGGCGAAGTATGGATGATCGTGGTGACTTTACTGCGAATCACTGGTGAGTTTTGCTACCTCAAATACAATTCAGGGAGCCTAACTGACTGATACTCCAGGGACCATGTTCATGTGAGCTACAACTAGATACGTGGGGATAGCTGCATGCCCAGCACTTACATGGGAGACTGTTGGAACATTGAAGCAAGGCAGGGGTCTCCCGAAGTTTGTGGGATAATCGAATGGAAAATTTCTCAGAGAAAAACCCGCCAATTTTCACGTGCATGCCGAGGCGTGTCGTGCTCGTTGCTCGGGTCTTGTAACCTGAAGTAGATTTGAACCTTGCTCTCGCTAAGCGTTGTGCCTCGCGATATTCGGACTCAAGATTGCAGTCAAACATCTGACCAATATGATCAACTTCATTTTCCGAGGAGCGTGTGGCGGGAATCAATGAACCTAAAAATGGAGGAACTCTTTTCCCAACTTGGGATAGAATATTTCTCCGAACCAACAGGTACCAGTAGCAGCATGGCACGATATACACCTGATACCTACTTTCAAGGGGGTCACCGGCCGGCTTCCCACTTCAAGGCGATAAGACCTCCTGGTTTGATTCCCTTCTGGGCATAGAACCCACAACTATCACATTGAGAGGCGCGGCCGCAACCAACGTGCATAATTATACCTGGCCAAGAAGAGGGGTAGCTCGATCCCAAGCATTCAGGGAAACTGATAAATTATTGCGGCTAGATCTGTCAACCAGCACTGGATGTACTTACTCTTTATTCATTTCTTGTGGAGTACACGAGCTGTAGATGACCACGCTGCTCATCATGTCTGGAGAAAACACTGCCGCAGAAACCCGAGACGGTCCAGCCAATTCCAACGCCCCGGGTCCGAGTACAACCACCCAGATTGCGGACACCTTAATCGAGGCCGAACTTGTAAGTTCTAAAGATCTATGCATCGCCTCGTGCACTGACCTCATTGCTCGTTCAGCAAAACACTGATGATGATGGATCGTTGAGAGGCGAGGTGAGCGTTACTGTCAGCTTTCTGTTGATCTTGTAATCTGATTGCTATAACGATATGTAGAGTGTTGCATCTTCAAGCACAAGTGTAACCGATTCTATTCTTCAATATCGAATTGAAAATGGGCGAACTTACCATAAGTACAAAGATGGGAGGAGGTCATTATCCAATTTATCACACGTGGTGAGCACAGACTAACATCAGCAGAGTACTACGTTCCAAACGATGCCAGAGAAAATGATCGCCTAGGTAAATTCGGCTGTCTGCCTTGCCGTTGGTATTTTCACATCTAAGATTTCCTCTGGACAGATATTCAGCATAACATGTTTCTCCTCACTTTCGATGGCCGCCTTGGAACAGCTCCACCGAACTTAAAAGGTGCCAAAATAGGCCGTGTTCTTGACTTGGGAACTGGAACTGGCATTTGGGCGATGGAGTTTGCTGAAGAGCATCCCGAGGCCGAGGTTCGTCACGGAATAATGCCATTTCTATACTGTTTATCCAACTAAACGATTGCCAGGTTCTAGGCATGGATCTTTCAGCTACGCAGCCAGAATTGTAGGTTTAACTCTTTCTTTTGACAACGGCGATTTTTTGGGTTCATCAACTAACAGCACAGCAGTACACTGCCAAATGTGAAGTTTGAGATCGATGATCTAGAAGAAGAGTGGACGTACTCTCGGCCCTTCGATTACATCCATAGCCGGATGATGACCTCAAGCGTCGGAGACTGGAAAGTATACCTGAAAAAGTGTTTTGAGTGGGTTTTCACAAGTCTTCCGTTAGTTTAGTGAGGTCTGACATACTCCTAGTAATCTTACACCTGGCGGGTACGTGGAACTCAACGAAATCGATCTCAATCCCGGCTGTGACGACGACACCCTCAAGGCCGACTCTGTGCTCTACAAGTTCGTCCACTTGTGGGGAGAAGCTGCTGCAATTTTTGGGCGACCTTTTCAAGATATCAAAGCCTTGAAAGATGTACTGGTCGAAGTAGGGTTTGAGGACGTGTACATCCAGAGATTCAAATGGCCGAATAATCCTTGGGCAAAGGATAAGAAGCATCGAGAGCTGGGGTATTGGAATTACGACAATTTTGCCGCTGGCTTGGAAGGATTTGTTATGGCTCCTCTCACAAGAGCACACAATTGGACGCCCCAAGAGGTTACGGTGCTGTGTATGGAGGTGCGGAAGGAAATGAACAACCCGAACGTTCATTCCTATTCTTCTATGTAAGATCACTGAGCCGGGCTTCAACCATCTCACTAACGATATCCAGTTGGTCGATCTACGGAAAGAAGCCTGAGAAGGTGGCGACTCCAGATCATTAAGTGTCGTTGGCGCAGGCGTTTCATACTATACCGAATCTTCCCACATGTAGTCGCCACTATTTTTCACTTCTGGCAGTATTATTCCCCTTGCATCTAAGGCTGACTTGACTGCGATTTACTGGTAAGTTAAGGTGCCGCAAATAAACTCTAGACACCCGTGCGGACTGAGATTCCACTTTCAAAGGGCCCATGTTTACGCGATCTACAACGAAATGCGAAGGAACATTATTGGAAGACAGAATCAAGGGTCGCATGGATTAGGGCAGGGTTTAGCCAGAGATCGAGGGATCATTGGATGGAAGAACTCGCGAAGAAAAGCCGCACATCTTCACCGAAGTATGAATACAGCTAGTTTCGCGAGCGCGTGCCGAGGTGTGTTATTGTGCCGTTGGGCCGGTTCCTGTACCCGCAAATAGAAGTAAACCATGTCTTCTCTTGGCAGCATGCCTTGTGAACGTTGGATTTGAATTTGAAGACAAACCCCTGGTCATCTCAACCGAACGAACTTGTCTTCTTAGAAAGGCAGGTGGCGTCTATGGATGCATGTGAAGAGAACAAGAAATCCTTCCCAACTTGAGATAGCATAGCATTCCGAGCCAACGGTTGCCGTGTCATATTGCAACAATACTTATGCAACTCGTCACCTAAAGAGGGTCGTTAACTGCTCTTCCGCTTGAATCCGATAGGAGCTCGGACTTTGGTCTTTTCTAGGCAAAGAACCCACATGTATCACATTGAATGGCGTGGTCACAACCAACATGCATACTTCTCTCTGGCCAAGAAGAGGGGTAAGATCCCTGGCCAATGGAATTCTCATACCTTATTTAACAGGTGAACTGCTCGTCACGATGTGAGAGGGAAGGTCAATAAATGCAATCATAGTAATTGTATGAAGAATTGGGCTTTCAGTTTCTCTTCATCGAGGCTACTACAATCATGACATCGACCACCAATGGAGCTGCAACGGCCGAAACGGCTTCTCCCACCCAATCATCTCCTGCGGCCCAGGCTCGACAGACTGAACTCACAACCACCATTGCTCCTGACCTCCATCCAGATGATGTGAGAATCCAATGAAAATCAGAGTGTTGTGGTTTCGTTTTACTAATTGTAGAAAGTCTGGAGATGACTCCTCTGCAAGAGGCGAAGTAAGATTTGGCTCAATCACTCTGCAGCGGCTCCCCTATTGACGGCGGTAATCTGCAGAGCATTGCTTCCTCCAGCACTAGCGTGACCGACTCCGTATTCCAATTCCGTCTCGAGAACGGGCGAACATACCACAAGTATAAGGATGGCAGTGGGTTGAGAATGCTGAACTTTTGGAAGCCATGACCACTAATGCAATTACTGCAGAATATTCTTACCCAAACGACGAGCGGGAGAATGAGCGGCTCGGTAAGAAATCTCAACCAACGCACAGCCATTGAGGATTATCGCTTTTAGCAAGTACTGAATCATGCGGGTAGATGTGCAGCACAATATGTTTCTGCTCAGCTTCGATAACCAACTCGGAACCGCACCTCCCAACAAAAAGGATTCCGACATCAAAGTGAAGAGGGTTCTGGATGTTGGAACTGGAACTGGCATTTGGGCCATGGAGTTTGGAGATGAACACCCGGAATCTGAAGTCAGTGAAAGCCTTGCCTTCACTCTTTCCCAAGGACTTATCTCCTTAAAAACCTACGAAAGTTTGCTGACCGTTGTGCGCGATGTAAATGAAACAGGTTCTTGGGATCGACCTTTCGGCAATTCAGCCAACTTTGTAGGTTTCAAGCCTGCCTTTTTACCAAATTGCCAGCTGACCCATGATCCTTCCAACAGTACGCCCCCTAACGTGAAATTTGAGATCGACGATGTTGATGAAATATGGACTTACTCACAGCCTTTTGACTACATCCACAGCAGGATGATGACATCGAGCATTGGAGATTGGAAAGTATATCTTCAGAAATGCTACGAGTGAGTTTTCCCTCTGAATCATTCCTACAGTCAGCTAACTCTATTCCAGCTTCTTGAACCCTGGGGGTTATGTTGAGTTGAATGAGGTTGACCTCAAAGCCGGTTGTGATGACGGAACACTCAAGGATGATCATGCACTGAACACAATGAGCCGCATGTGGGGCGAAGCCGCGGAATATTTTGGCCGCCCTTTCCAAAATAACAGGGACTTGATCAATATCCTGAGCGACATCGGATTCGTTGAAATACATGCACAAACCTTCAAGTGGCCTTCGAATCCATGGCCGAAGGACAAGAAGCACAAGGAGCTCGGGTATTGGAATTACGAAAATGCTATTGCAGGGCTCGAAGGGTTTATTATGGCTCCTTTCACTCGGGTCCATCAGTGGACTAAGGAAGAGGTCACTGTATTCGCGATGGAGGTCCGGAACGAGATGAAAGATCCCAAGATTCATTCGTATTCCAACATGTAAGTGGCGCTATTCACCCATAATCATCTGCTCATCTAACCTTTTGCAGCTGGTCAATCTACGCTAGGAAGCCCACAGAAGAGCAGTCAACCAGCGGATAAGGTTGGAAGGAGCTCATGGACAGTCAATGCTACTCATACTACGGACGTGCCCAAATCCGTCGCATCACAGCCTGCCTATTCTCTCTATAGCATCTCTCCAGTTTATTTGATAACAAACCTAAATATGGCACCGGGACAGCTCAATGCCTGTACTTGTTCGGGAGGTGGAGACACATGCATGTTGTTGGCTTATTCCCAAGACTAAGTTAGTAATCAACATGAGATGCCCGCTACATGCACTCGAGAGACAAGTGCCCGCCAGAACACAAATCATAGATTTGCGTGCAGCGTATGCCACAAGGTTTCCAAGGCTAGTGCAGAATCAGCAACTCGGGGCCAGAAAATCAGGTTTATACAATACTCACTGACGTTGTTAATCGCGAGCCTCAAAAACGCATGTAACAAGTGACGATAAGACCACCTCGCAAGTTTCCAATGGCTTCCGACCATAGAACTCCCAAGCCAGTGGTTGCGTGTCACAGGCTCGTGGGAAGTAAATGATCCAGATAGAGACCACTCTGGACCAATGACTCTGCATGAGATCCCCGCTTCCAATTCCTGTTGCAGGCCAGGTTCCAACGAACAATACTCGATGTGGTGCGTTTGCCGGAAAACTTGCATTCTTGTTTCCAACCAAGAAGAGGGGTAGCATAATTAGCCGATACCAGGTGTCTATAAAAGACAGTGTTGGCGGCAGCTTTTGTGTCAATCAACAGTTAAGTTGGATCTGAACGAAGAAAATCCCCCAATTTTTTTTTTCCTCAATTACTTTTCCACTCAGAGCGAGTCCCATCCGCCATGTCTGAGTCGCACGATGCAACAACTGTTACGGCAGCAGCGGCGGCCCAGCCTCAGGTTGCCATCGATGACCGTGACCTTATTGCGGCAGACGAGGTCAGAATCAGCTTGAGTGACCAACAGAGATGTAAAATCACATTGACTTCTTTTGCTTACTTTGCTCGTCGTTTACGATAGGTCACAGACGATGAGGAGTCGATCAGAGGTGTAAGAACTCCTCAGCTCACCACTTTCACGATAAACCGAGTGGTTCTCTAATTCATGATTTAGTCGAGCGTTGCATCTTCAAGCGCCAGTCTTTCTAGCTCGATCCTCGACTACAGGCTAGAAAACGGCCGGACATACCACCGATACAAAGATGGCAGTAAGTTGTATGAACCAGAGTTTGGAACCATGTTTTTAATCGAAGTAGAATATTACATCCCAAACGATGAGAAGGAGAATGATAGACTTGGTACGTCGTTGCTACGCCTACTTATGATCGCCACCTAAGAAACGGTCCGTATGAGCAAGATTCTAATGTCAATTTCGACCGACCATCAGACCTTCAACACAATCTCTTCATTCGCACGTTTGATAACCGCTTGGGAGCGGCGCCGCCCAATGATCCGAGTTACAAAGTTGGTCGAGTCTTGGACGTTGGTACGGGCTCTGGTATCTGGGCCATCGACTTTGGCGACGATCATCCGGAATCAGAGGTAAGATTTAGGAGGGTAAAAACTAGTTATTAAACCGGAGACAGAGTTATCTAATTGTGATACTATAGGTCCTCGGTATCGATTTGTCTCCGGCACAGCCAAGCCTGTATGTTATTCACCCTTGCCCATAGCTGATAACACAAGCTTAGGCTGGGAGGTCATTGACTAACATTAATTGAGCACAGTGTCCCGCCGAATGTTCGATTCGAGGTTGACGATCTTGAGGAACCTTGGACATACTCGCGTCCGTTCGACTACATTCATAGCCGTATGATGAACTCTTCTGTCAAGGACTGGAAGAAATACTGTCAACAAGCTTTTGAGTAAGTAATGACTATTAGGTGTTATTCAATGCTACTGGCTGACTAGCAATGTCCGGGGTAGTAATCTCAATCCCGGCGGCTATCTGGAGCTTAATGAGATCAACCCCGGTGCCCATTCCGACGACGGCACCCTCAAGCCAGATTCAGCCCTGGTCAAAAGCATGAATCTGTGGGAAGAGGCAGCTAACATCTTCGGTCGCCCCTTTCAGAATCTCAGATTCCTGGCAGATGTGATGGTTGAAGTCGGCTTTGAGGATGTGCAGTGCCGAAGGTACAAATGGCCTACTAACGCGTGGCCGAAGAACCATAAGTATAAAGAACTCGGCGCTTGGAACTATGAGAACTTCGCCCCTCATTGGGAAGCCTTTATTATGGCGCCTCTGACTAGGGCTCTGGGCTGGACGAAGGAGGAAGTGCTGGTCCTGGCGATGGACGCTCGCAAGGACCTCGGCGATCGAAACATCCACGCATACTTCACGATGTGAGTGAAGAAGAGATTCGCTTTGCCTGTCTTCATACTGACTTATCGATAAAGTTGGGCCATTTTTGGTCGCAAACCCGCGCCGCCGACACAAGCCGCTACGGGCGCAGAAGCAACTGACAGAACTGATGGTCTGTCTTCTGGTTCACTCTGATCTAATCTCAACTGGGATTTCTTTCTGTGACGAGAGCAACACATTCTTTGGGGGTTCGATAGTAGTCATTAGACGTAAAATTCAAATTTGTTTTACTTAATAGTATCCCTCAAAAGTATCTTCATGATGTTTGGCCACTTGCGAGACAGCTTCTCGAATTGTCGGGCTGTCTTCTTTGGGACCCAATACATCAAACGCCAGTCCGTAGGTCTTTTCATTCTGGATCGCTGCGTATATGACCTTGGCGACATCTTCCCTGGGAATCATGCCGACGGTGCCCACCTTTCCTGCTCTCGCTTTTCCGGTGCTAGGTCCCTCGGACAGGCCACCAGGTCTCACGATGGTGTAGTTGAGCTTGCGAGCCGCATTCCCCACCCTCAACTCCGTGTCGGCTGCTAGCTTAGCTCGGAGAATGGGACCGATGATACCCCACATGCGGTCGCTGAGCTTCTCATCGGCGTCGGTATACCAGTCCGGAACGGGCTTGCTGTCTCGGTCGCGGACGTCCAGGGCGCTGACGACGATGTAGCGTTTTGTGACGACGTTGGCTTTGGCCAGGGCATCCATGGCGCGAATGGCTCCATCCCGGTCGACGGCCTCTGCGGATTTGGGGTCCTTGCCGCCAGCAGCCCACACAACGACGTCGGGCCGGGTGCCCTCAATGATTTTGATAAAGTCGACCTCGGAGGCGGTGGATATGTCCTGTACAATTGGCTTTGCGCCGATGGCTTCCAAGTCCGGAACCTGTTCCGGATTGCGGATGACGCTGAAAACGGTGTGCGGGGTATCGGCGTCCAGAAGGATTTTTGTCAATTGACGGGCGGTTTTGCCATAGCCCCCAAATATGAGGGTGGTCGGCATGTGAAGGATTGACGCGTCGCCCATACTGAAGTGTTGTGCTTATACACGTGCGATTTGAGTTGCGATATAAGAGGTGAGTGAGGCACCTGGAGATATGCCGGGCTCCAATCGAAGCTCCGAAGGCGCCGAGCCGTTAGCTTCTGAATTGACTTCGATGACGGCATAGTCCCGAGACAGGCTGGAACGGAAGAAGTCCAGAGCCGGCGGAAAAGGTTTCGGGCGGCTGTTTTTCCGTCTCCCTGCCAGTTGGCCAGCGCTCAGTTGCACATTCTTCCAATACACAATACTATCGCCCTTACTTAAGCGAAGATGGGTTTGTTCAGCAACGGGGACTTGAGAGCAATCAACTTGAGTTTCTCCCAAACTCATAGACCCGTTCCGAGCCTGGAGACAGTGGACTACACGTAGCTCCCCTCCCATTGCCCATTTGGCTTTGTCTGCACCGCTGAACATTGCAACCAGCAAGCCTTTGGTCTTTGCACCTTTGCAATGTCGTGAAGCAACTGTCTATTCATTTCGCCTTGTCGGATGATATCTCGGGTTCCTGTTGCCGTGATCCCGGATGAGTTGTATGTCGAGATATCCGGATCTGGTAGTGCTTCCGCCCATGCAGCACCCTTACAAACTACGAGTCAGAAAACACACAATACTCTACAATGTAGTACGAGGGTCCGCTGATCGTCGCCCTTGTCGTTCGTATTTGAGGCTGCATGTTAGGTAATTACAGCTGCCTCATTGGGCAGGAGGCTGTTCCCCACGATAGTGTACATTGGGGATAAGCTAGGGTGGCCTGGTCTCGGAAATGTGCTAGTGTAAATAAGCACTTAACTTTAGGCATATCTGGGCGTGGCCCGCAACGGATGGGGCCGATGGGAAAACTAGAATAGCATGGTGGGAAAGGGGAATACGAGATGCTGTCACCAGGGGACCCCCAGCAACCCAAATGTCTCCATCCCACCACTGCTGGGTCCAAGTGTCGCCCCGTCCAACGTTGTCTTGCCGAGATGGAAGAGGTTTTCTGGAAACCCATAAATCGATTGAGTGTTGGCACGATGTGGGATGAAATGGGTATTTGGTCACGCACCTGTCCTTCGTTCTTGTTGCTCGCTGTCCGCCTGCACCCATCATGAAGCAGAGCATCCTGTCCACGCTCGCTCTGGCGTCCATTGTCGCAACGGAGTATGTCTGGCCCTCTCAATACGACGAGATTGAGGATTACCTCTCCCTCCAGTCCGGATACTTTCGCAGGGGTTTCATTGATGGTTAGTTCTCACGACACCACCAATTTCCAACCAAACACTGACAACAAGTAGGCGTGATTACGTGTGGCTTCGGCGGTAGCACCCCAGGTCGTCAGAGCTCTGCCGAATGGCTTCGCACGGCTTTCCACGACATGGCCACGCATGACGCAGCCGCCGGTACTGGCGGTCTGGACGCCTCCATCTTCTTCGAGTTGGATCGTCCGGAAAATGTTGGACGTGCCTTCAACAACACGTTTGGATTCTTCAGTGGCTTCCACTCCATCCGTGCTTCTGCCTCTGACTTGTTGGCACTGAGCGTCCTCGTCGCCAGCTTTTCCTGCGGCGGCATCCAAATCCCGTTCCGTGCCGGCCGTATCGACGCTCAAGAGGCTGGTCCTGCTGGCGTCCCGGAGCCTCAGACCGACCTCAACACAACTCGGCAGACTTTCACCAAGGCGGGATTCTCCACGAGCGACATGATCGCCATGGTTGCATGCGGTCACACTCTGGGAGGTGTACACAGTGTGGACTTTCCGGAGATTGTTGGCGTCGAGGCGGATCCGAACAACGATACCGTAGCGCACTTCGATACCAATTTTGCCAAGTTCGACAACGTCGTCGTGACTGAGTACTTGAATGGCTCAACCAAAAACCCTCTGGTTGTTGGGACTAATGACACTCTCAACTCGGACAAGCGCATTTTTGCCGCGGATGGAAACAAGACGATGCAAGCCATGGCCGACCCTGCGGCTTTCCAGGCTACTTGTGCCGACATCTTCGCTCGCATGATTGACACTGTTCCCTCCACCGTCAAACTCAGCGACCCTATTTTTGCAACTGACATCAAGCCCTACGTTGACGGGCTGTTCCTCACGGACGACGGCAACCTGTCCTTCGCGGGCCGCATCCGCATCCGCACCACCGCCGTCACTGGTCGAGACCCCAATGATCTCTCGGTTCAACTGACTTTCGCCGACCGCAACGGCAATGGCTCGGCTGTAATCACCACCAGTAAGGCGACCTTCCAAGGCGGGAGTGCCTCGGGACTGTGGAAAGAAATTTTCAACTGGTGGGAATTTGATACCACCATCAGCCCCGACACAGGCATCAGCAAATTCTATATCCACGTTACGAAGCCGTCAACCAACGAAACTATTACGTACGACAACGCTGGAAACGGATACCCGATAAGCGACGCTCTCCTATACCAGCAGTCCCAGTCTTGCATCGGAGATGTTGCGAATGGGAAGTTGCCGGTTACAGTCAAGGCTCTCGTTCGCAAGGACCGCGTTCCCACAACCGCTGATGGCCTGACTCTGGATCTGGTTCACCAGGTTCGCAGGCAGGGGGTCGTTGTTCCCAGACTGGACGTTGAAAAGATCAACTTTCAGTCTGCCGGGGAGGACAGGGGTCAGTGGGCAGTCTACACAGCCACTGGAAGCCTCGATGCGGCGGGATGGAGCACAAGTTTTGATATCAAGCTGGGCGGCGACAACCCAGTCGAAGTTGCCTTCCAAAAGACAACCTTGCTGGGATCTGATACCTGCACATAGACATATACATTATTTGTAATGGTAATGAGATTGAGAAATCCAATTCAAGATGACCTGCAAGGGACAAATCACAACTAGCTCACCCACCATCTCTCATGGTAGCTTTTCAGGTCGACATCGCCACTGAAAGCGTCCTTCTCCAGCCAAGGAGTCAGGTCTAAATCAACGCTAGTCTCTCCATGAGCGGCTGCAACGTCTTTCTTGGTCCAACCATTTCCTAGCCACCCAAATCTATTCCCCTGGGGGTTCTGATACGTATACTCAAAGTCCTCCCATCTTGGATCTTTCCGAACCAGGTCAACATGGGCGGCACTCCCGGGCCAGAGACCATGAATCCTTCCTCCCTTGATACCGCCATTGTACCAGGAGCTACAGTGCTCGCTCATAACAGTACGAGGGAAGAAGGCTTCGACGTACGCTCGGAAGTCAAGAGTTGCGGCCTTTGTCGGAGCTATGGTTCGTAACCCCTGAGAAGCAAACTTGCGAAGTACCTTGGCGACGTATGTGAGCTGATTTTCGACGGCATGACACAGTGTCCCTGCCGGTCCTGTGGCGTTGGGCCCAAGAACGGTCAGAAAGTTTGGGACCTCTGGAGCAAGCATCCCAAGATAGGTGTCTGGGAATCCTGGTTTTCCGCCGGGCCTCCAAGCCTTTTGTAGGTCAGTTCCCTTATAGACGACTGGAAATTGAGTGCTGAATGTGATATCATGCCCTGTGCTGCAAATGACAGCGTCAACTTCACGAAGAGTGCCTAATCATTTAATCAGCCAAAGAAATTCCCCTGATTTCAAAATAAGAAAATGAAAAAAAAAACCTACCATCCACAGTCCGAATTCCGGTTTCAGTGAACTCGGAGATTTGGTCGGTAATATAGTTGACATTATCCGCGGCCAAAGCCTCAAGGTAGCCGGGCCCTGGAGTCAATCGACGGCAGCCTACTGGGAATTCTGGAATGATTTCATCAGCAAGCTTGGGGTTCGCTCCGAGCCGTGCTCTCATGAGCTCTCTGATGTAGCTTTCAGCTGCGACATTCTGAGAACCGTCTTTGAATATGCCCCCGAATCGACTGAAAAGTTTGGCCTCCAGGGCTTTCCGGAATCTAAGATACTTTTCAGGATCAGATCGCGCGTCTTCAACGTTCTCTGCGACAAATTCCGCCAAATCTTCTCCTCCTATCGGTGCTGCAACCCAAGTCTTGTTGCGGGCGTAATGATCAATGCTCGCGGCCACCTTTTGTAGTTGAGGGAGCACTTGTAGCCCGGAAGCACCATTTCCAATGACTGCGATTCGTTTCCCCTTTGGATCAAACTTTGGGTCCCAATTTGAGGTATGTCGTAAATGCCCCTCAAACTTGTCGATGCCAGGATACTGAGGAAGTTTCGGGTCGCTAAAGTGACCCGTGGCAGTGATCAAAAAATTGGCCTCGTCAGTGACCACACCATCGTCCGTTTGTATCTTGACAATCCATTTGGCCTTTTCCTCGGACCATTCTGCAGCCGTAACACTATGCTTTAAGTGAATGTACTTGCGCACGTCATACTTGTCTGCTACACCTTGCCAATAAGATTGAATCTCAGCGCCAGCTGCATACGCCTCAGTCCACTCCGTTGATGGAGCGAATGTAGCCTGGTAGGCATGGGCAGGCACATCGCATCGAACACCTGGATAGACATTGGTATGCCAGACGCCTCCCTTGATTACATCAGGTATCAGCAACTGATGTTTGGAGACGTGCTCTTCTGTGAACTCACAAGGTCGCTGTTTCTCTCATAGATTACAAGATCCAGATTTGGAACCTTTGCGGGAAGTAAAATAGCAGCGATGATGCCAGATATGCCGGCGCCCACAACGATGGCTCGAACAGCTTGTTGCTCATCAACCGGATGCTCTTCGATCAGGAAATGGGGATGGACGGTTCGAAGAATGTCATCTTTGGCCGTTGATAGGGGACTCGGAGCATCGTGAGTCGGATCTAGTATCGCGCCTGGCGCCATGGTTGATTGGTATGGTAAAGAAATGATATTGTCTGACAGTGACTCTAGTGAAGTCTGATCTGACCCCGTCTGACATGTCGTTGAACTTCTGTGTCTGATATTGTCGACTCCCGGCGTTTGGTCGTACTCAACCCCATAGATGGCGCAACCATCGCTGTTGCTTGCAAATAACCCTTGCTCTTAATAGGATTGTGCATGCAGCGTACCCGCAGCACGTTGTTTTGATATCGCTGACGCGATGACGCGATGACATTCGAACCGCGGTCGGCGATTTTATCATCACAGATAATTACCAGAGCACTGCGATTTTGATTTTGGTGCTACGTAGCCATATGAATGTGAGAAATGAGAAGACTTGCCACCCTGTCTGGCGAGTTTCGGCGATGAGGGAAAATGGCAATCTTGGTACTACAAACAGCCAATGAGCGAAAGTAAGCCGTCCAGGCTGTCCTTCTCCTCATAACTAGCGCCGTCAATGTGGTTTCTGCTCTTCCACTTGTTACTCCTACGGTTTACCTGCCCGGAGGAAGTAAAGAAATAGGGTTGAAATGCTAGACCCGCAGGTATGAGAATCTTTCCAAAGTTCCTTGACCATCCATTTCGGTTGAGGTTGCTTGGCATGAAGATAGGCCGGGGAGAAGATCATTCCATTGGTTCCAAGCATGCAATCGAAGATGGATCAATTAAATATACGCCATACCCAGCTCAACTTGCGAATCTGCTAAATCCCGGTCTTCCCCGGGGTTCTGATAAGAAAGTGAGAGGCGCGAATGTCACTCTTGAGTGCCGAAATCGGCCAGAGTTAATTGCGTGATTCTTCACGCCTAAGTACTTTATGCAATGCTTTATCAACCGGAAAACGTTCTTTTTTGCCGACAGCAATAGTTGCAGCATCGGCACATATTCTCCATTGAGCTGGACTCAACGCAGCGCAGCCGCCCTGCCCCGCCGAAATGGAACCCCCCGCCAGGCGACGCATCATCCTCAATGCATTCGACATGTTTACTCCGAGCCACTTGTGCTTCGGCCAGTGGCGCAGAGGCGAAGACGAGGTCGCCGACAAGTTTGGGGATCTCGGTTACTGGACCAGTCTTGCACAGACGCTTGAACGCGGAGACATCAACGCGTTGATCTTGGCCGATACCTTTGGTCAACATGATGTTTACAAGGGAAGCGCGGAACCGACAATACGGACGAGTTGTCAGTTTCCCATGGGTGACCCGGTGATAGTAAGCTTCGCAACTTGTCTCCCCACAAGTGACTTTCCATTGAAGCTTGAGGTAGCCAGTGACCGCGATGGCGGCTGTGACAAAAAATCTTGGGTTCATCGTAACGACCAGTACGAGTTATGAGGCACCATTTGTGGTTGCAAAAAGGTTCTCGACCCTCGATCATCTCACAAAGGGACGTTTTGGTTGGAACATTGTCACTTCTTTCAAAGAATCCGCTGCCAAGGCCGTGCGTCTGATTCAACCAAATCATCCACTTTGAGCACATGACTGATGTTGAGTAGGTCGGAGTTCCTTATGTTGAGCACGACGAGAGGTACGCCGCTGCTGACGAATACATGGAGTTGCTCTACAAGTAAGTACGTCCGATTTCGACGAAAAGGTAAAGACTAAGAGGTCAGAATATGGGAGGGCTCTTGGGCAGATGATGCTCTGAAGAAAGATGCGAAGAACAATATATACGCGGATCCTAGTCGCATTCGTTGGATCAAGCATCATTCGGCAAGATTCAATGTGGACGCCCCTCACATTTTGCACCCCTCGCCTCAAAGAACTCCGTTTCTACTTCAGGCGGGTACATCGCCGTGAGCCTACATCGAACAGCGCACCGTCGTTCAACATTGGCTGACATCCTGAAAGCGCCGGTATAGCTTTTGCTGCGAAACATGCTGAAGCCATCATGATTTCGGGGCTATCGCCTCACATCCTAGCGCCACGCGTAGCCGCTATCCGCGAAAAGGCAGCCGAGGCTGGTCGTGACCCTCGCAGTGTGAAGGTGTTTGCTGTCATCACGCCAATAATTGGCCGGACAGATGAAGAAGCTGGTGCAAAATACCAGAAAGCCTTGGAGTATGCTAGCTTTGAGCCTGGTCTTGCATTCTTCTCAGGAAACGCTGGGATAGACCTCGCCAAGTATGATCTTGATGTGGAAATCAAACCAGACGATGCCACAGTCGACGGGAGGGTACACTCCTTGGTGAGCAGTCTCAAATATCGTGGCGATGACATTCCAGCGTGGACGCCTCGTAATATCGGAAAGGCCATGGCAATCGGCGGAAATGGGCCAGTGCCGGTCGGTTCGGCAGCCCGCGTTGCTGACTTCCTCGAGGAGTGGGTAAAAATTGCAGACTTGGATGGTTTCAACGTGGGGCATGTTACAAGTCCTGGGAGTTTCGAGGATCTTGTAGATTTGCTGGTACCTGAGCTCCGTCGAAGAGGGCTATATGGACTCGCGGAAGATGGTGTTACGTTGCGTGAGAGGATCTATGGTGCTGATCAGAAACATCTCCGTAACGACCATGTTGGAAGTCGATACACGTATGGATAATGCAGTGCCATACAACGGATTCAAGATGGAACGTATGAGAGCCTATGATTGCCGTATCTCACTAGCGCGGAGTGAGAACCAGGATCTGACTCCAGTCAATGCAAAGCCCACTCAGCTTGCCATGTTGTCATTTTCCCTTGACCTTGCATCAGTCCAATGGACTCGGAGTCATGCCTAGAGCTCCTATGGCTTAGCTTGTTTTCCCCGAGAAGCAAAATATTTATTAGTTTCCCTCCAATTCGACGCCCTTCTTCGCCTGCGATCCCTTCGGACTGCATCTGCGGCTAACAACGCTTCGATCTTTGACAACCATGGATTCTGAGAACGGATCAAGGAGAGGCGAGGGCAAGATTCTTGAGCCTCAAGAAATCTCATCATCAAAATGGGACCTGCTTCAAGGTGTCATATGGGACGGCCCCCGACCAAAAGAAGAGCAACGCCTCGTGCAACGCCTTGACTTCTTTGTGCTGTAGCATACACCGAACCTTTGATTTGAGCTGGAAGTCTATTCTGACTAAGTTAAATACAGAAGCTGGGCTACTTTCGGTTATTTCGTCAGACTGCTGGACTCAAGCAACATCAGTAAGAGCTTTAGTACTGCTGCTATTCATGCGTTCAAAGCCCTGACTGAGAATAGCCAATGCGTATGTTAGTGGTATGAAGGAGGACTTGGATTTTCAAGGCAATGAGTACAACCTGCTTCAAACTTTCTTTACATGCGGCTATCTAGTTGGCCAAATTCCTTCGCAATTTTTGCTCACTCGCAGTAAGTTTCTAGCGGCATTATCTGTCATTACGCAGGTCACAGTAACTAACCATTTCCAGTTCGGCCTTCAATTTACTTACCCATGGCTGAACTTCTCTGGACCATTGTCACCTTTTGTTTTGCTGCCGTTCAAGACGTCCGTCAGGTTTTCGCCTTGAGGTTCCTGCTAGGATTTCTAGAGAGCCCTTTCGCAGTTGGCGTTTTGACCATCATGGGGAGCTGGTACACGCCTCGAGGTAAGAGCATTCATTTTGCGGTACCTGGCATGTGTGACCTAACCTGATCCTCAAGAGCTGTCGAAACGCATCTCAATTTTCTACTCGGCCAGCTACGCCGCAAGCATGTTCAGCGGATATCTCCAGGCCGCAATTTATAAAGGCCTCAATGGAACCAGCGACCTTCCCGGCTGGCGGTGGCTTTTCATTTTCTGTGGTTTAATATCGATCTGGGCTCCCATCTGGGGATTCTTTGCTGTTCCTGATAACCCTCATATCACAAGAGCTCGTTGGATGCGTCAGGGTGAGCAGGCTAGGCACATCATGCGCATGGAAGCTATCGATCGGCGTAAACCTGAACCTTTGACGAAAGCCAGAGTCTTGGCTATTTTCACGAACTGGCCCATTTATGTCTTTACTTTTGCGTTGATGTAAGTTTTGTTTATTATTCTCCGAATTTAACAGGCATGCTGATATAGATCTCAGTTGCCATTGTGTTGTCACACAACCCCTCAACTACTTCTCAGTCTGGCTGAAGTCTTTGAACCGTTTCACAGTCTACCAGATCAACCTCTTTCCTACCGCAGCACAAGCCGTCGGCTTAGTGACTACTTTGCTCTATGCCTGGGTATCTGATGGACTGGGAATGAGATGGCAGATCTTGCTGGTGCCAGCTGTTAGTACCCGTGATACAAGACTCCATGCCTTCGCTAACACACCACAGATGATCAATTTGATCGGCATGGCCATGGTAGCTGCTGAGGCTAGCTATGCATTGACGTTTGTCGGATACGTCATCAATGCCGCTTCTTGGGGCTTCTGGCCAGTTCTATACGTGAGTTCTCCCTATCAATCGGACTTGTAAATCACCACTGACATAGACCAGGCATGGGCTATCGAGATCATGCACAAAAATATGGAGGAACGCGCGATTGTCATTGGAGTCGCCCAAACTCTAGGCCAAGCCTTTATCGCATGGGTTCCAGGTCGGTAACCGTCTTTTCTTCGACATCATGCAGTAGACGCTAATTTTCATAGTGGTAATCCTTGATGTGGGAAAATACGCGCCTTCCTTCCACATGGGTTTCTCTGTCATGTGCGGAGTGAGTGTTTTAGAGCTTTCAAGTATCTTCTTGATCAGATACTTCGAGAAGCGGGAGGAGGCGAAGATCGAGCAGGCATCCACCAGCGAGTGAACATCAGTCTGTGAACTGAGGTTTCAACCTTATAGTCAAACATGGTGTATTGTTGAAATTCTCTTGATCCAGAATCTTCAAATGTCATCAATGAACATGGCGTGTTGCGCATCTATGACTTGTAGTGAGAAAGTCTGCGGACACTGCAATTAGTGCTTGTCCGAGAGGTGGTAGCAATTCAATAAACGAGAACAGACTTACTCAATCAAGTTCCCGTCAGGGTCTCTCACGTAAAAGCTCTGCATGGGACCCTGAGCGCCCGTTCGCGCGACCACTTTCTCGCCTTCGAGGACCTGGACTCCATCTCCTTGGAAACCCTTGATGAGCTCTTCCAGATTGGTGCCATCCTCCACCAGGAAACAAAGGTCAGCCGTGCCTGGCAGCGCGGTCTTGGCCTTGGGTTCGAACTCTTTGCCCTGTTGGTGCAGGTTGATCTTGTGCGTGCCGAACTTCAGCGCATGTCTCTGGACGGATGGATCCAAAGGCGACGTAAAAGTTTCCGCCTTCATCCCGAGGTACTTGGTGTACCACTGGACCGTCTTTGGAACGCTTGCGCAGGTGAGCACGAGATGATCGAGAGTCCTGACAACGGCTCTGGCTCCAGACATGGTGATGAGCGGGCTACCACAGTAAAGCAGGAAGCGAATTCGATTGATAGGTAAGTATATAAGGTGTTGGCAGAGGCGGCGGTATCGGTGGGCGTTGAATACCTCTTGGCTTTGGTTTGATGGAAGGAGGAAAAGAAGTAAACGATGACAATGGGAAGCGACAAAGACGTCATCCGTGCGTTACTAGGGCGGACCGTGCCGACTTTCCGAATCTGGTAGCGTTCGGTATGCGGATCCGGCGCCGAGTTCAAATTCGCCGGGACTCCACATCCGAGGCCCGCCGTTCTCAGATTCCTCTGTCCAGTTGTGAATACATTTGATGTATCCAATCAATGTCACTTCCGAATTAGTACCTGTCTAAGAGCGTTTGGGTTCCATGCAATTTTGTTGCAAATTGGCTAATGAACCAGTTTGAATACCGAGGTGGTTCAAGATGCAATGCCCTTCCGCGTCACAGTGCAATTAGCCCTGGAAACTTATCTGTGGCGCACCTATCTCAATTTCCAGTCCTGTTGATCCGGCACCTCATTGCAACCGAAATATTTCCACAGAGAGACTTTTCTGAGTCGACCGTATCTAGGAATCCTCCCTTGACTTGACTTCTATGGTGTACCACGCTCAACCCTGATCTGACGCTGACGTTGCCTGCGTCTAGCTTTCGCTGAGCGATTTTGCGAATGAGGAGTTTGTAGACAGGCATAGCGATCGACATATGTCGGAGCACAGGATAGGGCACCAGTCGGCGGCCAAGCTTGAGAAGGATTTAGTACCACACGATCCATGAATCGAACTGCCCATTCAAAGGGAGCATCCCGCCAAGATATAGTGCAGAGCTAGCCGAACACGAGCGCCCGTCAATTCAAGGCTTAGACATACTGACGTCAGGGGTCACTCACGACTCAAAGTCTCTTGGGCCACTCGGAAATGCAAGATCCATATTCAACAACAGCCTCATTTACTTCGTTGATTGTCCCAGACATCTCGTTGGCCATTCGTAGGTGCTTGTGCAGGTGGCTGAAGGTGAGTGGGAGTACCTTGTCGGTGATGCTTGCCACCACGCCCGCATCCTAGATGGACTGACGGATATGGCGTTGGAGACAGAGTGTGGTTGTCTGGATGGGTACGGATGTCGAGGCAGCGAGTGACTTACTTCGAGACCTATAGATGGAGATGTAGGAATACGTCCTATGGCCATCACAACGTTGATGTTTTTTTTGGCGCACGATAGGCAGCGCTATCAAGTTGAGAATCATGGTCAATTAGTTAGATACCATCTGAACCCAGGCGTATCGGCAAGAGGAGAACACGGGTCCCTCCCTTCCTCCACAGAAGTCGTCCAAGGGCGGGCAGATGGTTCCGTTCGAGATTCCTTGACACCGCCAATTGGAGAGGAGTCTAGGCTACCGCGACAAGGATGTTCTAAGCCACAAGCCGTAGTTAGTCTAGAACAACATTAGCTGCCGGCAGCTGAAAAACAAGCTTAAAGTTGATACGGCAGTACAACACCATATACATAGCCTGCCGCAACATTGCATGATCAACAGGAGCTAACTCCTGGCTGCGTTGTAATCAGACGCGACTAAGTGGTAAGACAGGCATGCTTTTGGAAACACGCCCAGCCCAGAATGTCTGGGTTCCCGTTGATCGTGTTCCTCGAATCAGCCCAGCCACTCACCCTGACAACTTAAAGAGATCGTGAGATATCGATGCGCGGGGCAACTCGTCCCCGTGCTTACCTGTAGCCACAAGAAGCTGAGACCTCAAAATAAGCAATTGCTAAACCCCGGACCCTAGTCACTGACGCCACCATCACCTGCTCTAACTTTGCTCAACGGCCACTTAGGCGAAGACTCTGACATCGCGGCCTAGTTTAGCTGCAGGAACAGAAGATGCATTTTTTTTATGGCATAGCTGTGATGCCTTCAATTGGACGCCACCACGTAATTGTTGGCTGCTCATCTCCGTTCTGTGCACAAGCTGAAATGTTGCGTCTCCGGGGAACAACAGCACAGAGCCCAACATCGCAGCCTTACGCTGTGCACCATATATTTAATCACCAGATTTCCATGGAAGAGCTGAAGGGGATTCTGGGCCATTTTGGACACTCAGTAGCTCAACCTTCGCCAGAAACCATTTACTCTCGTTTCAACACACTCCCTTTGAAACTGGCCATCATGCTCAAAACACTTCTTGTTCTGGCCCTTCCAGCCTTGGCTCTAGCCGACGATGCCTTCTCTGTTCTCAAGCGCCAGCTGGTCAGGATTCCGTGTAGTGAGTCGGGTCTCAAGGATTGTGGCGACATCTGCATCCCCTTGACCTATACCTGCTGCCCAGGCCAGCAGGGCGGCTGCCCCTTGACTTCCAGGTGCTGGCTCGGCAACAACGGCCAGTATGCTTGCTGCCCGATTGGCCAGATCTGCGACGGCCCCGGCGGCGTCAACACGCTACCCGGCGAGACAGTGACGTCCACCATTGTCTTCACGGAGTCGGTTTCGGACGAGCAGACTTCCACGTCCTTCTTCGCCGAGACCTCCACCGCAACTTTTACCCTTACTTCCGAGATCGAGAGCACCTCGACAGGAACTTCTCTCCTGGCAGAGCCGACCACCTCTCTTCCGGCACCACCGGTAGTTCCCAATACACCGACGACGACTGCTGTGCTCCCGACAATCATCGTGAACAATACTTCGACCCGGCCGCCTCCGGTCACAGTCAACGGAGCGAACACTCGTGGTGGCTCATTCCTTCAGGTCATCGCTGCTGGTGCCGTAGCCTTGCTTGCACTTTGAGATTTCTCATTATTGAGATGAGATTGTGTACGGTATTAAGACCTGTGCTGTGGGTTCTGTACGGTCGGGCTGTAACTGATATTTGAAGAAGGACGGACGGATGGACTTGGGTATAGGAAGATAGAAGATCGATAGCTTTGGCAGTGAAAACATAATGGAAATGATGATTGTCCGGTTGGTCTTTTGTCTCCCCAGCTTTCTGTACTACTGAGAAAGTCGCTACCACTCTGGTTTGACCGAGATGAGTCTCGTGGTTGCTCTCAGAATCTGGAGCTCCGGACCCGAGCGCCAGTGGCGTGCTTTCTCGTGGGGGTTTGTGACCAAAGGGCGTGTATAGGGCGCGGCGGGCATGCGGAAGCCTAGACGGGGTTCGTCCTGTCGTCACGCAGGTTTGACAACGAGACTAGGACGTTTGAGTCAAGCATGACCATGGAAATATTTCCTTTCTTTGAGCGGCCAAAACGACGAAGTTGAGCCGCCTCGCAGGTAGACAGACGTGTAGTCGGGATCGGGATCGGGATCTGGCACAGACAAGATACCAGTGAAGGAGTTGGCGTCGGATGAGTATCCCGCTTCCCTTGGCCGGCGTGCTCGATGCTGCATGTGGGAAAAGCGGCAACTTTGAACCTCCACCGATCTGCATCAAGGGTACCAAACAAACGGGGTTGGTAGAATTGGAGATGCGCGGGACCAAGCACCCTTTCCAGCTCCCCGGTCATAGCTGATAAGCTTTGCAGGTCCCTTATTCTGAAGAAATGGCAAAAGTGATTGGTGTTCGCGAACGCCGACAGCAGGTTTCTCGCAATAGGATTTGTCTCGTATCAGCCGCGGAGGCACAGCCCAGAGACATTGTCGTCAAACTTGGGCTCATGAAAAGTGGGTGTCAGAGTTATTGCGTGCTCGTCAGGCGATTCTTATCGAGGACGCGGCTCGGCACAAGGCAACTAACTTCAAAAATAACTGACTGCAGAAACGCGACGGACTTACACGCAAAGCAGCGATTCAGGCGGTGCTGAACCTCGACATCGGTGTCTACAAAATTACATTCGGAGCAAGTTCCCAACATCCAATCAGACGACAGACAGGCTTCCCCAGGACCGAGAGCCCAGGCCGAGGATGGTGACACACTGCAACTGGGCATTTGCGCGATTTGATGGGATTTGACGAGTGCTTGTGCAGAGTCGTGCCGCCCAAATTCAAGGGACTCTGGAAAAAAAGATGAAAAATTTACGTGATAGTTCGGCACGAGGGCGGGTACCATCGGTGGTTACTGAAGCAAGGACAAAGTACCTACCTTCTTGGGTGTGTACAATGTACGGTTTACCCCGCCGTGGAGCGAGGGAAAGGCGCCGCATGTCAGATGGCAGCCACGTGATATGGGGTCCATCATTGCCCTGGTAAGGTATCTGCCTGTCTTAGGTAAGCCACGACTTCGATGTTTGCAAGTTTGCACCTGTCTGAGGCATCTGGCAAGAGGTACGTACTACTGCCTCCAATTCCTCAGCTTCCCCAATTATAATTCTGCCCCCAATTTGGCCGCAGATTTTCTCGGTGACAACTGCAACCACTTGAACACCCGTTCGTCTCTCTCACGGTCTCAGCAATTCATTCCAGTAACGACATGCGCCATCCTCGGACGTTAGCCTCTTATCAATACGGTGTGCCCGAATGTGTGGCCGAGTGTGGATGGCATGTGGATTGCCAAGTAGATAAGCCTTCCGTCCGACTTTACCCCATGGGTTCGCCCTGAAAACGTTACGACACAGAAACAGCTGATGGACTGCTTGGTTTCTGCTTTGGGTTTAGCTCTTCCCCATGACTGGATCTGCCCGCCTTCTGCACCACTCAGTGCCGAGCAGCCTTTACTATTCGCCTCCAACGAACATCCACCGATGGCTCAGTCGCGCCTGGGCAGACACGCAGAGTCAGTCCAGTCAGTATACCAAACATTACTTCGCACCTACACCGCAGAGGAGCACAGCGTAACGTCACGTCGGCGTACCTAGTAGCACCGCTCGACCATGGGTTGGAGAACGCTTGCAGAAATCAACGGAGGCAGCATCCGTTGCTTGGTCAAGCTTGGGGCCCACGTACAAGTGTAAGCTGCCCGTCTCACGGCAGACGGAAAGCTTTCGCCATGCTCTTTGCCCATACCCCATAATACTGCAGCTATTCCCCCCTCAGCCCGAAGCTTGGCCATTTGTTCGCATTTTTCTATTACTCTTCGCGTTCTAGAATCTTTCCGTGGTTGCGCCGGGCATAACCACGGACAAGCCTTGCCTGCGACCAGAAAAAAAGTTGACGTACTAATATACCATCGCTACCCGCCCGCCCACATCGCAAACGCCCTCCCTCTTTCCCGCCTGCTCTCTCTTTTCTTTTCTTCGCCCAAGTCTGAGTCGAGCTCGGTTGATCACAACTACGAATCGACAATGGAGGCTGCGGACAAAGATTACAGAGGGGGCGGTCCCTTGACCGACGTCGAATCGAAGCATAATGGGGAGTTTTACCCCCGCGACGTCAACTTCGCTGCCCTTGGCGACCACAACGACCTCGTCAACTCGCATGACCAGCTGTCGCGTGGCCTGAAGAGCCGACACATTCAGTTCCTGGCGTTGGGTGGCGCGTATGTTTCCCGTGTCTCTGCACGCCCTCAATGGGGTTGAAGTGAGCGCACGCTGACAGTTGTTTGTAGCATTGGGACCGGTCTCTTCGTCGGCTCAGGCAGTATCCTCTCGGCAGTCGGGCCCGCGCCGCTGTTTATGGGATACCTCTCCATGATGATGGTCGTGTGGAACATCATGAACAATCTCGGAGAAATGGCCACCTACCTCCCGCTCAAGGGCATCTCGATTCCCTACTTTGTCGAACGCTTCGTCGAGCCCAGTCTGGCTTTCGCCGCCGGTTGGAACTACTGGTACGCCTACGCCATGCTCGTCGGCGCCGAGGCCTCGGCCGGCGCAATCCTCCTCGAATACTGGAAAACACCCGTCCCCTCGGCCGTCTGGATTACAATCATTCTGCTTGTTACCCTCGGTCTCAACATTTTCGCCGTCGAAGTCTTTGGCGAGGCCGAGTTCTGGTTCGCCAGCATCAAGCTCATCACCATCCTGGGTCTCATCATAGTGAGCTTCGTCATAATTCTCGGCGGTGCTCCCGACGAAGGTCGCATCGGCTTTCTTTACTGGTACGACCCAGGCGCAATCACACCATACCTTGTCAGTGGAAATACCGGAAAGTTCTTGGCCTACTGGACAGCTTTCGTCCGCGCTGGTTTCGCCTTCATCACCTCCCCCGAGCTGATCGCCCTCGCGGCTGGCGAGACCGTTGCCCCCCGTCGCAACATTCCCAAGGCCGCTCGCCGCTTCGTCTGGCGTCTGGCCATTTTCTACGGCCTTGGCTCCCTCATGATCGGCGCCATCACCCCTTCCAACGATCCGAGACTCCTCAGCCCCGACTCCAACGCCGCTGCTTCCCCGTGGGTTATTGGCATCCAGCGCGCTGGTATCGGTGGCCTGAACCACGTCATCAATGCCGCGATTCTCACCAGTGCGTGGAGTGCGGGAAACGCCTTCTTGTATTCCGGCAGCCGTATCCTCTACAGTTTGGCCCTCAACAAGCAGGCCCCCCGCTTCTTCGCCAGGACGACCAAACGCGGTGTTCCCTACACCGCCGTCCTCGGCACTTGGTCGATTGCTTTGCTTTCCTACCTCACCGTCAGCAGCGGAACCTCGACTGTATTCACCTGGTTCATGAACATTAGCACCATTTCCGGCCTCATCGCTTGGGTCGTAGTCATGATCACTTACCTCCGCTTCCGCAAGGCCATGATCTACCACAACATGATGCACCGCCTGCCCTTCAAAACGCCCCTCCAGCCCTACTTTACGTGGTTCATCCTCGGACTCCTCATCATCCTGACCCTCACCAACGGCTTCCAGGTCTTCTTCCCGGGCCATTGGAGCGTCTCGGACTTTTTGGCGGCGTATATTACCCTGCCCATCTTCTTCGTGCTTTACGTTGGACATAAGATTTGGTTCCGCACACCAATGGCCCGCAACGTGGCCGATGTAGATGTCTTGACGGGCGTTCCTGAGATGGAGGCCATGGCAGAGCTTGATGAAGAGCCGATCCCGAAGAACTTGCTGCAAAAGATCTGGTTCTGGCTCGCTTAGATCTGTGGGCGGCACGGAAAGTGATTTGGTTGGATACTTATGTGATGCAAAAGTTTCAAATACTACCAAGCAGAATAAATATTCATCGTAAAAATATAATCGTTCTCTAGATCGCTCAATCAGTGAACTTGCGTCCCCTCCGCTCATGATTCCCCGCCGACGTCACCATTAGCAAAGACGTTCCGCGTCGTGCCTGAGGATTCGCTATATTAGCGTGGTGCAAGCGACAAAGCCGAACGATAGATATCCTGCGACACTCACCTGCTCTTCTGACTGTAGTCTCGATAATTCGTCCCTGCTCGTCGACATGATACGACTTCCCTTCGTGACTGGGCAGCGCTTCGACCGCCTTCACAACGGGAGGCTTCAACATCTTCTTGAACTTGCTCAAGGCACTGGTGGAGTCGGCAGGCGTCTTGGCCTTGGGAATCTCCTTTACGACTCGCGTGGAGACATAGTGGTAGTTATCAGCGCGAACGGGCTGGGGATCGGTGCCTCGGAGGGATTGGCCGGCGGTGCCTTCGGCGTTGCGGATGAGCGGGTGCAGGGAGTTGGTGTCGGAGCCGACAAGAGTGTCTTGGCTGAAGACGGAGGGGCTGTAGTTTTTGGTTTCGGTCTGGGGCCCTTGGTTGCTAGTCATGGCTGTGATGGTTTGTTACCAGCCGACGTCGTTGGCCAAGGTGTTTTGGTCGACTTTTCGCCCAGTGTGAGAGGAGCGGGAGATGGACGGATTTGACGCCAGCCTGAAAGAAGCTTTGGGGTGCACATTTCTTCCCGTTTATGTACCAAAATACCAGAGGCACAGCGACGCCTACCCAAATCAGCCTCTCAGATGGTCTCTCACTTCTTATTTGACGGGAAGAAACTGCACATCCTGGCGCCAGTACCTGCTGACGCTCGCTTCCGGTAAATGGCACGAAGCTCCGGCGCCCTTGTGCAGTGGCAGATGTCCCAATCGAAGAACGGATTTTAGCCAAGCTCATTGTTCATTCGTGCTGGAGGAGCCAAGCTGTGCCATTTTACTTGCTGGTCGGGCGTCTTCGTAGACAGACTCTGGCAGGGGTGGTGCGGCACGGCAATGAACCGTTGGCCCACGCCGACATCTGATGTCTTGATTATGAGTATCTATCCGGTCTATCAGCACTTGGTCGTATTGCCCCGTGTCGTATGATAGGGAGGAATGCAATGTGAATGACCTGTTTATGGTGCTTCAATGGGCATTCAGGGCACCTTCCATGTGCAATCACTAGATGCCTGAACACAACGCAAGTGTCCAAGACCATGTCAGATCGGCTGGTGAGGTCTTTCCCGGGTTGATGAGTACTTGCTTCATGGATGAAGACATTGCTCTGGAAAACATATTCAGCTTCTGTATCATACCGCATACTGTCCTTTGTCATTCAGGGGTATATTACAGGGCTTGAGGAGCAAGCTCGTAACAGTTTACTACAACCTAGTAAATTGAAGCACACTCTATGAAGCCCCGGACAAGTGACAAGCCAGCCAATGGAATTAAAGAAATGAAAATCTCTCTTGCTAGTATCCTAAGAAGTAGAATTGTTAGAAGATGATGGCTGCTTTCCTGGTGTGTCGCTTTCCCTCGTACCGGCGCGATGCGCAGCTCTATGTTGATTGGCTGCATAGGTGCAACACCCCTGCTAATTAAGCCGAGTCGCCATTTTCCTGCAGGAACCAGTCCAAAAATAGTTACTTGAAAGTTAATAATTAAAAGTTGACAAGTTAACATTCTTGATTTTTTAAACTTTGTTTTCATTCTTCACCGAAAGAAGCTTTACCCCCTGGTATTCCACCCCAATCGACAAAATGTACACTGGGTTATGGTGCAATAGCGGTGGCTCCACAGCATGTCGGTCTCCAAGGTATAAATTGACCAGCATCCGCCCATCTCGTCCACTAAGACTCCGCCGGCTACAATTTCTTAGCAGCCCAACGGCCACCGTCTTCATAAAACCCCTACTTAGTGAAGATTTGATCCGGCATTGCTGGTCGCCAGTATCTTAAATCTATGCGTATGCATTCATTTAATCATCATATATGTCTGCTCTAGACCTACAAATCATACTACCAATTGGCTCCGATAGCGCTCACTGATCTGTCGTCCCAAAATCACTTTCCGGGAGGAGGCAAGAGAAGTCCTTGATGGCGCAATGTTCCTCGTAAGGCAAACAAGGAGTACAAGAAGACGTCACATCGCCCTATACAGTAGACACGCAACAAAGACAAAAATTGGAAGGAAACGCCAATCACCTAGGCAGCCAATTTTGTACTCATAACGTCTCATCAAGACATTACGATAGACAAAAATCGCGTATTGCATGGACAATAAGAGCAGGGTCAACTGAAGCGTCACTAATCCTCTTGGAAAGATCAACACCTCTCTATAGTGTTGCCATAGCAAACCTACTGTCATTTAGACGCGCGGAATCCAAATGTTGTTCATTGCCAACCCACACGACAGAGAATAGTTAGCGGCTGCGAGGTCACCCTCTAAAGGGTCGCCATCTTTGGCCTCTTTCGGGATACGCATCCCGATACAGAGTGTTTGAATGCAATCACTGTCCCAAGCCAGGCTGTATTGGGTGAGAATCTTAGTTGCCAAAACATAGGTAGCCTCCCGGACGGGATTTGGCAAGCTGGGCGTCCTCCATCGTCGCCACAGACCGCCCGCACGTAAGTTCCTGGGCGGGTTCGTAAACTGAGGTAGCGGCCGGGTACATTCGCATCACCGGGGAGACAACGAGTGTCATATTTTTATTCTCTTGGATTATCACTCCGATGGCCTTTGCAAAAATCTTAGTCGGCAAGAACGACCTACCCGTTTCTGCCTGAATCGCTGGAGTTTTGTTCCGAAACTTCCGGGCGTACTCGGCCACTGCGGCCCCACTCTTCGGCCCCGAGTCCGAAAATTCACACATCCTAAACCCGGCCTCCGTGCATCACCACTCCGAGTGCACTCCGGTCAGGGCTTTAGCCTCACCACGACTCAGCGGATGCCTCGATACCTGGCACTGGTTCTTTCTCAAAGATCTCCTTCTCACTTGATTTCTTTTTCTTCTTCCTTTCATCTTCATCACAATCTCAACAGCAACAATAACAATAACAACAACACCAACACCAACAACAACACTAACAACAACTCACATTTCTGTTCACCATTGTAAGTAATCCCTCGTCCGCTCGCTCGTATACGTCAACGATACTGATTACGACGACGACAAAGAACAGAAAAATGAGTCAACCCAGCAGCAGCATCAGCAGCAGCACAGGTGGTGGTGGTGGTGGTGGCAGCGGTGGCCAGCCGGCTGCCGCTGGCCACAACCTCGGAGGCGGAGGTGGTGGGGTGGTGGGTTCCGACCTGCCCCCTATCCCTCCCGGCTACGTCGATGTAGCCGCCTATCTCAGGGCCTTCGGGGGAAAAGTCAACGCCCTGTTGTCGTTGGCCGGAAGGCAAACCAACACCAACGCCTCGGTCCCCGTCTTTCTCGCGCAGAATCTCCTCAGTTCTTACCTGACCTACCTCGAGGAGGTCCGCCGACGCTTCCCAAGCCAGCTCCCGGCCGCCATCTTCACCTACAAGTATGCGCTGCAGAGAGGTCTCGACCGCGTCAAGCAGACTCCTCCCGAGGGCCCTCTGGGCCTGCGATACCGGTTCTATTCCGTTGAGAACAAGAACCGGGCCCGCGCGTTACACGACTGGCTCTCGGCGACTGGAGACAGGCCCCTGCCCCCTCCTCGTCTGCCCCTGCCCCCTCTCCAGCCCCTGCCCCCTCTCCTGCCGGTCACAGCGCCAGTCTCCTCGAGCGCGCCATCCTCGAGCGCGCCTTCGTCGAGCGCGCCATCCTCGTCCACCAACAGGGTTGTCAAGCCCGTCAAACCAGTTCCCAAGGATCACCCCATTTGGGGCGAAGACGGAATCAACCATGGTCTCGCCTTGCGAACGGGAAACAAGCCCATTACGGCGCTTAATCCCGAGTACAGATTCCAGCAGAGATCTGCCAAAGTTCTAGGTCACAACGGCCTCCACGTGGGCCAATGGTTCCCGAGTCAGCTGTCTGCGCTGTTCTACGGCGGCCATGGCGAGTCCAATGCCGGAATCAGCTACGAAAAGAATGTTGACGGTGAGCCGGGAAGAGCCTACTCGATTATACTCGCTTCCAAGTACCACACTATTGATGAAGATTACGGCGACCGCATCGTTTACTCTGGCTCCAACTCATTGAGCAACGATGCTCACAACACTCCTGCTGACGGTGGAAAGCCTATCCGTGGAAACGCGGCGCTGGTCAAATCCATGGAGGCAAAATCTCCCGTGAGAGTCTTTCGCAAGGCCAAAAAGAGCAACGAAAATTCCACGTACGCGCCGAAAGACGGTCTCCGCTACGACGGCATCTACTTCGTCACCGAGCACAAGCAGGGCAAGAACAAGCACCGTGGCGCCTTCCACAAGTTTACGTTGGTTCGAGGAGAGCCTCAGACGCCCCTCAGCGACCTGAAGAATATCCCCAGTCGCCAGGAGAGACGCGACTACTACAAAATCAAGGATGGCTACTAGTCCCAACTGCCTCATTCGATTGGAGACTCACCCCTCTTGGAGCCAACCGAGTTGGTTTGAGAACGACATTCAATTAGAGGAAGTCGCCTCTCATGGCTTGGAGATATTCGAACGTGGTCTGGGAACGAGATACGAGATACGAGCAATGAGATACGAGCAACGGTCACAGTTGGTGGTTTGCGTTTTATTTTTTGGGCCACATGGATTGGCAGACAACCCAGTCGACACATCCTCCATGCAAAAGCAAGAATACCATCAAGTTTTCGGACGCGGTTTTCTTCCTTTCTCCTCGAACCACATCGTTCAAGGATAGCATCGGAATGGTCACTTTCGGGCGTCAGATCGGAAAAGTTACGGATACAGTTTTGCTTTTCTTTTTCTTTTTTCTTATTCCTTTTCGGCCACATGGATGGAACAACGGATCATGAAACTTGCCTGTACATCAGAAGTTTTTACCGACTCAAGATTTCGGTCTTGGGGTTTCAGCAACGGTTTTCATCTTTTTCCCAGGCCTCACGGTCCTATGGTCAAGATAACCTCACTTTGGGCGGAAAGTTTACGGATATGGGTTATTCTTTTGGCGAGGGGCCACATTCATGCTATAGGCATGATCAACAGGGTTTCGTTTCCATAAAGGATCACCCACCTACATTTTGGGCGTCTTCACGGTTCTTCTGCGGATGCTAGGTCTACAGGTGGTGGAGGTAATTTCGGGGGAGTGAGCTAGGGGACTTCACCACAGACAGTTGCATCAGACAAATCAGACTTGCTATCAATGAGACCTTGCTTCTACTTTGTGACATTGTGGCCAGGTGAAACCCGCGATATCTGCAGAACCTGTGGAATTTGTGAAGGTGTTTGTCAAATTATCGCTGCCACAACAACCCCAATAGTCACCCAAAAAGTCTTCACCCACGAATTGGTAAATAACAAACAACAAGTTCCAGAGTATGACCAACAGAGACATCACAAAGAACCGCCTCTGTTGTAAAACCACAGCCTCGCATCCTCAATGCCCAATGCGCCAACCATGAGTATCTTGCCAAACTCATCAATGTCATCAGCAGCAGCATCCCGCAGAGCTTCATCGAAGCACTGTTTCGTAATGACAAAATGCTGCTTCTCCTTCCAGGCAATGGCAAAGTCGACGACATTGGGCGCCTTCCAGAGGTGAGCAGACATTGTCCACGACTGGCAAAACACGTATTTTTCTTCACAGCCATTTGCCAGCGTGTCGACCAGGACACTGTAGGCGACCAGGAAGAAACAAGTGAAAAATATGGTTCGGCGGGCTGATTCCTGAAAGATCCATTCCTGCCAAAAGTCCTTGGTCGGGCATGTGGAGAAGTCTTGAGCTGGGCCCGTTGCAGGCTGTCCTCGCTCCCACTTCACAAAGGGCAGGAGGGCGACAATGGTATGTTCGAGAGAGGAAAGGGTATTTTGGGCAGAAGCACGCATAGAGATATCGCCGTCGAAGAGGCGGATGATTTGGTAGAGAAGAACGGCATGGAGGCGGGCTAGTATCTCAAGACGCTCATGGGGTATCGGTGAGGCGAGCAGCTCGTGGGCTCTCGCCTGGATGGTACGCAGCACGAATGGCACGTTTTTTGCGTTCTTGGCTACGTAAAGAGCACAACAGGCTTGGGCATCTGTTGGATCTATGGTCAGAAACAATGACAGCGACAGTGATCGCAGGTGAGAGTGACATACCTTGCATGTCTCGGGGCATTTGAGCTCGATAGAGGTAGGGATGGCTCCACGGGGCCTCGTTCTCCATCACCACAGAGGTCGGGACCTTTTTTATCTCGTCGAGAGCATACTGGAGACGACTGGCTATCACATCCTCAAGCGAGCCGGCGGGGGGATTCTGAGATGGAACGAGCATCTGGTCCGGCCTGGGCGTGAGGGACGAAAGTGTCAAGGGTCCTTCAAGCAGGGCATCGGGTGTTATGAGTTCGTCAAAGGCTAGGTCGAGACTGATATCGCCCAGGTCTCCCATGTCCAAAGGCAAACAATTCGGATCCTGAGACCAGGGAATGAGAGAGGTGCCGGAGCAAGCACCATCATCGACGAGGGGAGCATGATCCAGGGTCGGGCTGCTTGAGTCAAGCTGCTGTCGCGCCTCCGGGGTTTGCGGAGAAAGATCTCCAGTGGTCACCTTCGATTTGCTGCTTGCTGGCGGAGCGGAATAGACGCAGGCGATGTTCCGCCTCGAGCACCGCAGACATGTGGGCTGGCCGTGGTCGCATCGGCGCTTGGCTTTGGTACAAGCTACGCACGTCTTCCGCCGAGGAGGTGGGTTGGCCCGCTCGAAGAACGAGTTGGACATTGCGAATTTGACGCTTGCATCAGTCTTTCGCAATGATAATACGAGGAACAAATTTGGTTGCTGTTTCCTTTCAAATTTATCGGAGCAGATTTACAGGCGAATGAGAGCAGAGTCAAGTCACTGAGAGTGACTGCAGAGGAGCATCATTGCGGCATTGTCAGCGCTGCTCAACTACCTGTGGCTTACTTAATGTGGCGGGATTCCGCCAGCATTTCCCACCCCCAATAGCTCTCAGCGCTTCTTTCATCCTTCAACCTCTTTGTCGAGATGCGTTCTCATCTTCAAGTACCGCTTTTTCGGGATTTCGGCCAATCGGCCATGGCGAATACGTGATAGCCACCATCATGCGAAGCTGGCGGCGTTCCGTCGTCTGTTGCGCGTCTCCGTCCCGGCCCTCGAGATGAGACCACCGACGTTGTGAGATCGGCTTGGGCGCCGCCATTCAATAGAGGCTCTGATCATATAAAATACCAACAATCAATACTCTGTGAGTATATAAGTCTACAGAAATTGTCTCATTTGCTAACAAATCTTATCACACCGCAGTCTCTCAAAAGAATCTCAGCGCCTGCCTTCATCGCCCTCAAATCCGACTCCAAACCATCATACTATTCAGCTTCAACCCCATCCAGTCATGTCTCAGCATACCATCTTCGTCAGCGGTGCAACAGGCACAGTCGGTGGCTCAGTCGCCAGGAACCTCCTCTCAAGCGGTATCGCCGTCCACGCCCTCGCCCGCGACCCGGACTCGCCCGCCGCCAAAGCTCTCTCCTCCCTCGGCGCGTCCCTCACCCCTGGAGGCTACGACACCGAAGGAGCCCTCGACGAGGCAATGAAAGGCGTCACGGGGGCCTTTCTCAACTTGATGCCTGATTTCGTTGACTACACCTGGGAACTCAAGACGGCGAAGCGCATCATGGCAACTGCCAAAGCCGCGGGCGCTACGCACTTCATCTACAGCAGCGGCTTCGCGGTGGAGGCTCCCGAGAAGCTTAAGAACTGGGACCCCAAAAGCTTCAATGCCGTCGTCCTCCTCTCCAAGCAGGCTATCGAGAACGAGGTCCGCAAAGCCGGCTTCGAGCACTGGACGATCCTGAAACCCGGTAACTTTGCGGCGAATTACGTCCTCCCACTCGTCGCCGTATTCCCGGACCTCATCAAACATGGGCGCTTCATTACGGCCCTGAGGCCCGAGACGAAGCTGCCGACGGTTGACCCGAACGACATTGGCAAATTTGCGCTGGCGGCGTACCGGGACCCTGTCAAGTTCCACGCCCAGGAGGTCTCGATTGCATCGGAGCTGCTTACGGTGGACTACATCATGGAAAAGCTTGCGAGGTTTACTGGGAAGGATATCAAGGCTGTATATCTATCCGACGAGGAAGTTGAGGCGCAAAAGGGTGGGAATCCGTTCATTGGTGGCCAGTTGGCTTCGCGTGACATGGACCAGTTTGCTGATCTGGAAAAGACACGAAGCTGGGGGATTCCTTTGGGGACCTTTGACGAATACTTGGAGCGGGAGAGGGAACTGGTCAAGGAGACTTACGGACATCTTGCGTAGATCCTGGTTTCTTTGCACAAGGTGGTTCTCTCAAAGACTTCAAGCAAGAGGCAACATGGAAGTGTCGAACATTCACAGGTCGATAGGACATGGAATGTAAATGGGCATATCCTCATCCAATATTGAAACCCCATGCCTCCCCATGATTCTCTCTGCCCCATTCAGCCATACCCTCACTCAAACCCTCAGTCAACCCAGCATCGTACCTCATCCCGCTCTCCGCCCAAGCCACCCGTCCCGTCCTCCAAGTCAACCACTCCTCCGCCAAAACTCCCTCCGGCGCCCTCAAAATCCCAGCAGCAATATTCAGCAATCTCTCCCCGTTCTCCTGCCTCCTCGCCCCGCCATAGTTGAAATACGCCATCACACTCGCACCGCACGTCCCGCAAAACGAACGCCACACGTCCTCGGAGGACTTGAACGTCTTGGACGCCCCGCCGAGCTGGAGGTCCCCGGGCACCTTTGGCGCGATGCACGATTCCGCGATACAGGCCCAGCCGATGGCGTGGACGCCCGTCTGCAGGCGGCAGTCGTCGCAGGCGTCGAGGCAGGCTGGCCATTTTCTGGGGTCCACGGGTGATAGCCAGGGCTCGTAGGCTTTTTCCTCGAGCATCGCGGCCTTGGGCCGGGATATTGTGAAGGAGACGCCGCCGCAGTGGCATTGTGCGCGGAGGACCTCTTCGCCGTCGATGCCAACTTCTCGTCCGGGTGTTGTTGTCTTGATCGCCGCATTTTCAGCTCCGTCCCTGGGATTCCAAACCTTCATCTCCTTGCCATTCACGCGCGGGAGCCATTCATACAGCCCTCCGCCCGGCGCCGAAGCCGTGTTGACGTGAGTCTGGATATCCCAAACAGCGGGCACATCATCCTTATTTGCATCAAAGATGGAAGCCGAAATAACCCACTCGTCATCGTCAACGCCCACATCTCCAATGTGGCAGCTACACGTACTGCAAAAGTACCGCGTGCTCGAGGCCTTGGCATGGCGGTAGGCCGTGAGAGACGACGACAGCGAGGAAGGGGCGATAAAGGAGGGAGACACGCCGGACGGGAGCGGGGCGTGGAAGATGCAGAGGGTCCCGTGGGTGTAACGACAGATGCTGCAGTGGCAGAGATGGACTTTGAGTGGGATGGAAGAGAGCGGGACGGCGAGGGTGAAATGGACGGCTTTGCAATAGCAACGGGCCGTGAGAGTCTTTGTAGCGGGGGTTGTCCCGATGGATTGGATTTGGTTTTCACTCATTGCGGCGCAAGTTGTCCGAGATTATCTCAAGTGTGAAGGCACATTCGAGGATTTATGAGGACTTATGAGGGGCAAGGCTGGAACTGAACTACCGGTCTCACTTCCCTTTTCAGCCGAGCGATAAGAATCGACTTGACATGATGCTGAAGGGCGCGGTGCAAGTCAAGTTAGCCTCAGATGCGGGGTCCAATCGCCACGAGGGAACCACACCGACAACGTTTTCAACACAAAGCAATGTGGCGTTGCGATGTCGGACAACGTTCATGTAATTATCTTGCAATGCATAAGTAGCTCTACGTAGGTTTAAACAGCCGTATAAGTCAAGGGTATCACTTTGCGCGACATTCATGCCCC